TCAGAGGAGACGTCGTCATTACCACCAGAGGTGGCCTCGTCACCGGCGTCAGAGGCGGAAGCAGTGTCACGCTTTTCAGTAACAGCCTCAAGCTGGAGATACTTCGCCCCGTCTCCTATCTCCTGAAACTTGTAATCAGACCAGATTCGGGATACGACCGGAACGTTCGAAGACTGAGGCTGCTTGATATGTTGGGTGACGGCGAAGCCTCGTTTGTCAGCGTCAAAGCCCAGTGCCACTGTGACAGCCATTTGGGAGAGCTTGGCGTTGAGCGGGACATTGGGATCTGCGAGGATGTGTCGCGAGGCGATTCCATGGCGATTTTCATAACTGCCAAGCTTGAAGCGCAAGGCGACATTTTCAGGAACCTGAAGGGCGTGGTTGATTTGGGGTCTTGTCATAAGCGACTAAGACTCTGTTAGCTTCAAAGGACATAGAAGGATGAATCATTCGTATGGAAGTCTGGAGAAATCGAAAGGAAGACTACAAATCATGAAGCAACTCACCAACGAACTGTCGAGTCTCGTTAGCTTCTCCAGGGCATCATCAACATCACTTGTGTTCTTCCCCAAGACTTGAAGCCCTTTCGCCTGGCTTTCGACACTGATTTGGGTCCCAGTGAGGGTTCCCACTTCCTTGAGGAAGTCTCGTGGCGCATGAGAGAAGTATCCAATTCCACCACTCGAGGAGAGCCAATTCTTTGTCCATTGCGTATATGTAGCCTCGTCGCCACTGTCGCTATCTAAGGCCAGAAGATTGCCCTGGGCTTCAGATTCTGGAACTTCGGCGGTGTCTTCATCTGCGGTGGCAACTTCCGATACTTCCAACCGCCGTACACGAGGAATCTGGTGATACCAATCCAACCAAGGTCAGGTTCTGGCTATTACACTGGGAAGGTTGAGGATACACTCACGTCGAGCAAATCTTTGTTTCTCTGATCTTCAATGTAATCCGTCATCCGAGCCCCGAACTTAGCCATAGATCTTTCCAGATTCTCGCCATGAATAACGAATACCTGGCGCGTACTTATGAGATATGACACTGGAATTTTCATAAGAAAAAAATCAATGAGAATACTCACATTGTCATTGCCGTTATACTCGATGCCTAAGTCTGCGTTGCCAGCCTCCGACCTGGAAGAAGTGAGTAATGACATCCAGTATTGCACAATAACAAAGAGTCTTGACGTACTTGAGCTGATCACGCATTTCTCGTGCCTATTGTATGGCCCATATTAGTATGTCTTCTATTGAAGCTTCTAGTCTGCATGGAAATACTCACGGCATCATCTTCAAACGCCCACGTCGACGCAAGGATCACGCGCGACTTGGTGGCCATGACGGCTGCACAATAGTCGGCCTCTCCAGACAGCAGAAAGATGCCCAGAAGATCACTATTCCACAGAATATGTTGCAGCTGCACGTAGATGCTTGTTGAGATAGTTCTTTAAGAGGGAAGGAGGTGTCAGAGTGACGCGTTTGTAGGGTCTGTCAGATGCTTGTTTCCAGAGAAATTAGCAAAGAAGAGAAACTTGAGATGGATGGTAGCAAAAGGATAAGATGGCAGGCTGTCTCCTACAGTTAGAATGCAGTACTTATACCTGTGTACCCCGCGTGACTGAGTGAATGAAAGAGCCTTGGAGACCGGATTTCGCCGTCACAATAAGTAGAGAACGAATCAAATCAAAAAAGCCCCGTCCATTCAGCGTCACTAATTGAGAGAAGGCGTCACTGACTGAGAAAGATAATGGCTGTTAGTCCTATTGAGAGAGAAATAATTGGTTAATGGTGAGCAGCGTGTGGACTGGGGATTAGTGACGGAGTGCCAGTGTTCAGTCACTCATATGGAAACTACCTGTAGTAGCAGTTTGCAGGTGAATATAAAAAAAACCTGGACAGTTCCGTCAAAAATCGCAACACTTTCTTATGAAAGCCGTAGGAAAAATGGAGGCATCTCGCTCTTCCTTAATTAATAAAACACACAAAGATAGGACTAGTCTGAAAAAGCTGATCAAGCAAAATGAGAGCTCTAATAGAGACTGACATTAGGAAATAAAACAATTATACTCTGCAAGCAGGCAGTCATCTAAGCAACAAACGCGCCAGGAACAAAACCGGGTCGCATCACGGTTGCCAACCGAATCTCCTGGACTGTATGTAGGTATGTACATGCAACCACCCGTTGATTTCCACCGCAAATTAATTACTGGCAATTTTCCCTGTTAGGCCCATTAATCAATGAAATGGGACATACCTCATAGATACAAATCATGATTCTATATTTTTCCCTCTTCATAAGTCATCACATGCCCATCAAATGCATTTGAGGGTATCCCGATGAAAATGCGTTAACAACTGACTCTCTTGACCCATGTACATGTATTATTCAATTCGAAACAATTTCCACATCACCGCCGCCCAAGAAGGCAAGGAGGACGCATGTGTAGATGTAGTGCAGATCCGAAGCATCCCATAGAAAGGAACATGCTAAAGCAAAACGGAACCTCCGAGTTTAGGCGAAGTCTGCATAAGGGGTATCAGACAAACAAAACTTGGAAGACATAAGGTCGAGGAAGGCGGAGAGAGTTCGGCGAACGAGGAAAAAGCCGCTCGAAGAAGACTCAAACCGGCGCTTTCCGTTCCCCTTGGTGTGTCAATAGAGTCACTGAAAGGGTTTCAACCCTGTGAACTCGGAATTAAAAAGCGTTGCATTATTAGGGATCGAGCGGCAGGGTATAGCAGGGAACCCCTGGAATTATAGTCGTGTAGGAGAGGATTCCAACTGAGACGAACCCTTTCCTCTCTGATGTGAGCTTGATATAGCTGATTAGCGGAGATTGCAGACGAATAATGCAAAGTTAAAGAATGCAAGGCGGCAAATGGCCGCCTTCTACTCAGCCCAGTCGAGTTCCTTTTTCACGTGAATTGTCCATTTCATCTTATCTTCAGTTTCTTTCAGAGACGCGAGTGCATTGTCGATGATGGATTCATTTGCGTGGCCTTTCTCGATAAGCTGTCTAAGCTCGCGGTTGTTCTCGGTCTTGTACGCTTCATAGGCTTCGAAGACACGGTTTATGCGGTCCCTTTCAGCCTCAAGTTCCTTGTTCTGCCGCTCCATGAGGGCATCCAGTCGTTCTTGCTCCTTGTCCTTCTTCTCAATCTCACGGCGAAGGGCGTTGAGGTCATCACGGACAGCCTTGAGCTTCCTCTGCAAGTCGGCCTTGTCTCTCTGCGCGGCCTTGGCAAGAGCATCATACTGCGTGGTGGCGTGGTTCGTGATCTCCTGTAACTCAGCACATTTGCGGTGGAACTCATCTTGCTCCTCCGCCATCAGCTGCTGAATCTTGGCCATCTCCGCCTCGGCTTTTTGTCGCCTGGTCTTCTCGCTCTGAACTTCGGCACGGAGCTCTTCGATTTTCCGGTCTTTCCGAGCAATGGAGTGCAGATTGGCCTCATTAGACTGTTCGGAATTCCTCAGTCGTTCACCCAAGTTCAGGATCTGTTCCTTCAACGTCTCATTGTTGTGGAGCGTTTCCTCCGCTCGGGACCGATAAAGACTCAGCTCCCGTGTCAAGCGTGCAATTTCCTCCTGCAGGTTATGGATGACACGACCAGACTTCCCGGTGGCTGCGTGTCCCACCGCTGAGGACCATTCCGTGGCCGCTTCGGTGTTTGCAGGGGTGGGAGAAGGACCATTGGCGCCATCTACGACCTCGTCAGCATCAAATGGCAGGCCACGGTTGCCGAGGACGGGGAGGAGACATACCGCCGGAGGTGGATTCGGGGTTCGATGCGACCCGTCGGTCAGGGATCGACGCCTCGAACAGGCCGTTGTGCTGATGCATATCTAAGCGAGTGTCAACACGCGGCAGATTGATCCGAGGTGCATCTGTGGATGTTGCTGGAATATCGTTCAAGTCAGCCACAGTCTTGCCTATTCTCAGCAGTTCCTTCATGCGCCTGAGCGGGCTCAGGCGGCCCATGCCAGACGGTGAAGCATTCCTGCGGCCAGACATCATACCAGGCTGGCACGTGCAGTACACTGATGAACAGAAGTAATACATGTGAGACCAATCCAGGAATGCAAGAACAGTCTCCAGATCTTGCAAACCTTGCAAGACGGGGGTCTCTGCAGCATCATGTGTATGACGTGGGCCGGGAAGCAGGGGGAAGGGAGACATGGCTGAGAACAGAATAAACAAACAAGAAGAGAGCCGAGAGACACTTACCACCATAGGAATCAAGTGCCAAAGCCCTCACGCCGAGCACATCAGAGGGGGACTTCTTTCGGAGGCTGTTTCTCTTCATGAAGCCTTACAGCGGAAGAGCCGTGAACGCCGCAGCAGCGTGGTCTGGAGAGCGGCGGATGCGGGAGCCAATCAGGGCACGAGGACGCATGAATGAAGAACGGTTGAAAAGGAAGGGGGACAGAATGCAAGTGAGAGAGATCACTGGGTCCAGGGGAATATTTCAAACAGCGCCCATCATGCTGGATCTGGGACGGAAGGAAAAGCGCTGCGTGATGTCAGCACCCAGCAGGGCATCAACCTCAGCGGTGAGCGGGAAGCGGCTCCGGGACCGAGCCTTGGCGGGCGATGAACTATTAAAACGCAGCCATGACAGGGGCTTCTTAGTCGCCTCGGTGGACCAGATCGGCGCCAGCTGGCTGGGGCAACTAACGGCGGGCGCTAGAATCCACAGATCACAAAAATCTAAAACAATCCCGCAATCATATTCATTGTTCGCATGAACTTTGTCGCAATTTGGAAGCGGCCTCCTAGCTAGGAAGGTGGAGGACAGTCCACAGCATTGCGGGCAGATGGAGTACAATGATGTGGCCTGGCCTGCAGATAGCCAGATACATCAGATCCCCCGATCACCCAGCACGCTAAGGCGACTAGCGGATGATCTTCTGGCAAGGCGGCCCATCAGAATGGGGAAATCACAATTATTTATTCAAAAGCGCTATTATTGAAAACTTTACAGAAGGAAAGAGGAATGTGCATAGCTCAGCAAAGCTGGGTATATACTGTAGACCAGTTGGGAAATACTGGTTTCTGAAACAGGTGTAAGATTCTATGGTAGAGTGTGACAAAGAGCGGCAATTATGGCAGGATTTGTTCTTGTTGCCTATTGCAGGAATAAGAGTACTGCTGCAGCGCCCAGACCCAGGGCCAAAGGGGCCGCAGAACGAGCGGCAGCGCCTGTCTGGATATGCTTGGGAAGCTCCATAGTTGACGTGGGTTTCAAAGGAGTAAATTGAGAGCTCGTGGCGGAGTGAGAAGAAGTCGGCCTGGCCTTGGTGGTGGTTCTGGCAGCGGAAGAGCTTGCAGGGGTGGGAGTTGGGTGCTGCGACCCCGAAGGCGTGCTGGGCGTGCTGGGCGGACTGGGCACCAAAGACGTCGTGGCAGCCGGGCTGGAGATACTCTGAGCGCTGCTCGTGGCAGAGGTTGCGCTCGCAGTTCCCTTGGTCTCTGTTTCGAGCGGCGTGTTGTCGCCTCCCGCAATCTGGACCATTCCAGACCAGTTGACTGCATCGCCCTGGGTGATCTTGAAGGCATAGTCCGATCCATCTCTCAGGTCCCCTGTGGGAATCCATGTGAACTCGCCATCGCGGGCCTCTGTAGTCAAGACTTTGACGTCCTGCAAGTCTTTTGGGTCGCCTTGTTGCAGGGTGATTGTGGTGGGCTGTTTAAAAATGACACACGTCAGCCAACACAACAATCGCCAATAAAGGGCCGATATCAAACGTACTCCATTTCCGCCAGACCACTTCAATGTCGCCGGTTCGCCGGGCGTCAAAGTGCTGGGCCACTGAGTGAAGCCCACATATTCCTGCCCAAGCACGCAGGCAACCAGCGTTGCGCTGATCAGCAGAGACTTGAGGGCCATTGTTACAACCTAAATTGAAAGGCAAAGTTAAAGATTTTTAAATGAGAGACAGAAACACCGCCAAGTGAGTGAAAGAACCAAAGAGAAAAAAAAGGTGAGAAACGAGTGACGAACCCACGATACCCCCACGAGATGTTGGGGGAAAAACGAAATGAGCGATCAGATGTACAAATAAATATAGCAGAGGATGTTGGCGATCCATTGTGGAATTCAGCTCTCCTACGTTGTGAGGTTTGGGCCATGCCATTTCCATCAAGTCCACCCTTCTGGAATGCTTACTAGGACGGGAAATCTCGACAGGGTGTGAACGTGAGTTGGTTGCCTCCGCATTCCAGGCGGCCCGTTATTCTAACAAGGGCTAGTGACAGCGTGCCTGCCATGATCCAAAACCTGTCTCTCTCTTCATTGGGGCGGTTGTTGACGAATGCTGCATTCCAATTGCCATTCTGCGGGGGCTCGAATTCCCCAGTTCCGTTTGGGAAAACGTCCACGATATACTGACACCTGACAAAATTAATGAAGCTAGGTACCTACGAACCCGGAAGACCTAATTCGGTTAAAGATATCCAGATGAACAACAGAAGCAGACCATGTGACCCAGCCTCAGCCTAATCAGGAAACAGGAGGCAATTACTGCTAAAACACCCGTCCACGACCAGAATGCCAGTACATTATGGAGAATCTATCCGGATTGAGATAAAATAGAATGGTTCAAATCTCATGTCAGAATGGAGGGCCTCACTTCGGCAGTTCAATACCTTGAAGAGTTTCAATCCCGAGGTCACATAAGAAATTCCAGAAAACGGACCTTTCCTGATAGCAGCAACGATGTGGGCGAGATGCCGACTAACATCAATCCATGATCTACCGAAGCCTTTCAGCTGATATACTACTTAGGTATAGATTTAATGCCAGCCTGTCCTAGTCGTTTTCTTTTCTTTTTTTTTTTCTAAGGTATGTCTACCTAGATAGGTAGGTAGGTAATGGCAAGGCAGTCGACCGCTCCTTCCTAGACCTGAAGTTGTCACCTGAAAGCTACTTCTAATAACCATGCGTTCTCCTGCTCTCTCGCCTTCGATCAATTATCTTTCTGAATCAATCTCTTCTGACTACTTTCTATATTATCAACTCACTGTCACTCGTTTTGCAAGGGTAATAGGAACTATATATTATCTGTCTACCCATTAACCGTCAACACTCGTTTAACTGCGCCATACTAGCTTTTACATGGTAACTATCGTTGATCTATTGTCGAGAAATGCAACGCTAACATTTAGACAAAAGGACAATATCGAGAACTCGAATTCGTACAAAGACCACGCCTTTCCCCAAATCAAAACCAGACACATCGAACCCTCCGTTCAAGACCACGGTGTCACAAAGGCCCGCAAAGACGCATTGCAAACACTGGAAGTCTACCGCGCGTTTATTCTGATTCTTGAACTCACCCGCATGCGCAAATCTCGCGCTGGCTTTGCGTATGTTGCAGGGTTCTGGGAATGGTCGTTCATCCGTTCATCGGCTCGTCCCTTGGTCTACTTGGTCTCCATCGCTCGTTCTGGAATAGACAGGATTTTCCGAGAGACAGTAAAAGAGCTTTATTCTCTTTTGTGGCAGACTCAGATCGCCATCCTAGCCGCAGAGACGGAGGCAGAAATTGCAACATTGCTAAATCAGTTCGAAGTCAACGCGGCTGTCCGCACGCACCGCAGAAGAGCACGAGCTCAGGCTCTCATTCGAAAGTTGAGAAGCGGCATCTTGTCCGCCTCGATCTGGCTGTGCGACCAGCAGTTTGAGGATCTCAAGCGCGCAGCCTTTGCCTTGGACGGGAATTGCGATTACCATCCAGGCGATCCTAAACTAGAAGCAGTAGATCAATTCAACAGTCGGCGACCTGAGCAGCCACTGAACACTATGGGTTCCATCGCAGCTGGCCGTACTATCTTTCACACTATATGCTCCGCCTCAGATTCTAACCAGGAGATTTCAAGAATAATATACTTCTATCGGCCCCTCCGCAATGGCGACAGAATCATGGGCTGGGTTGGAACCGAGCAGGGGTACATCCCATTGGTGGCACACGAGCCGGAAGGAATTCCGAATGATGGCATATGAACAGACTACATGCCTCGCATATATGTATATGACTGAGGACAAGGTGCATGTCAGCCGTATCATAATGTAGGACTCGTCAGTCACTTCTTGTTTTCAAAAGTCACTCCTTAGAAATGCATATAAATGGAATGATTCCGTAAAATTCTATTCATTTCATTATTATGTACAAGCCTCAAAGGTCTCACTTTTCTCGACTTTTTTGCTGGTTCATATACCTCTTGCCAACAAGGAGTAAGCAGATTTCATGAATTTGATGCTGTCACCCAAGAAAAAGATATCTCTTTATAGACCAGCTATCCAGATAGCTAGATTGGAACACGCCTATGAAGCTGGCGCGGACGGGAAATCCCACAACTTCCTGACAAGGCTGCCCGGTGCGGTATCAACTCCATTGTCTTCCTCCAACAGACGGTCCGTAAAGATGCGTTTCGGGATGTGGAACTCCACGACGGGGGCCTTCTTGAACGTCGGTTTCTCCTCCACGCCCAGCTCCGCCAGAAGCATGCCCTGGTAGGTGTAGTCCAAGAAGTCCTCCAGGTTGTACATCGGCTTCGTGAACTGCTCGGAGATGATACGCGCGATGGCGGCGACGTTGGGGTGGTAGTGGGACTGGAGGGTTTCGATCTCCCACAGGCTGCTCTCGATAGCGTCGGTAAGGGTTGGGTCCGGCTCGTCCGGGTCAAAGGGATCGTCCATGCCTTCCGCTTCCAGTTCAGCTTTCCATTCCTCGTCGCGGACCACACGATGGAGCATGAAGGTACAGGTTGGATGGTTCTTGAAGAGATTGTAGATGAAAGGGACGATTGCAACGATAGCCGTCGGCGGAGCGTTAAGAGCGAGACGAGACAAGCGTTTGATGAAACTCGCAACCAGCGTTGCGGGTAAGTGCGTGGAAGCGAGGAAAGTATTCATCAACCGGAAGAACCTGGAGCGGTGTTTGGAATGCAAGAGGTCCGAGTCCAGGAGGGAATAGAGTTTGGTGTAAAACTGTGGGTAATCCAGGTTCTTTTCCTGGATGAGATAGAAGAGACCGGACAAGGCGAGGAGAGAAGTCGAGCCGCCGACATTGTATGAGTCCGTTAAGAAGTCCATCAATAGCTCTGGTCGGTTGAACCAAGGCGCGATAGTGTGAGACATGATGCGAAGGAGAGACTTTCTCTGAGTCTCCGAGAGGTTATTCCGTAGTACTGCTAGCCACGCATCCTGTGCACGCTTCTTATGCGCATTGACCGACAGGAGAGGGTTCTTCTGGCCAGTCTCTTTCTTCTCTTGCTTGATATAGAAATTCGTAAACTCGTGGTCTGGTCGAGGAACGGAGTCGCATTGAGAGAGAATCGAAATCAACCTATCGAGAACCTGGGAAGGCCTTTCCCCCGCGGCATACGTACTATAGAGGTGGTCAGTTTCGCAGGCAAATGGCAAAATTTTTTGAGTGCTCTGGAACATACGATATTTGTTGGAAGGTGTAATATCGAACATCCTCATACTCCTTGACGTATTTCTCAACGAATTCTGATCGCAGCGAGTCCCCATCCTCGGTTTCGATAAGGGCTTCAAAAACACCCTTAAAGAACCCCGTTGACCAAACCTGCGTCTCGGACCCGGGCAAATGCATCGCGCGTGCACTGACTATACGCATACACAAAGTGAAGGCAGTGATCTGAAAAGAATCAGTCTCCACTCTAGTCATTCCACAGGATATCGCTCATGTACGAACCTGAGACGAAGGGTCGGCTTCGCGAATAATATCCAAAAGAGCTTTCTGGTACTCTTGACACCTCTCCTTCAACCAGGCCACAATGATCTTCTCCTGTTCAGTCGCCCTATTCGGTTCTTTGAGATTTCCACCAGCGATGAGCCTGCAGAACACGCGGCAGAGGGACACCGCAACAGCGAGATTTGGCTGTCTCGAGGAGTCGCCGACATTAAGCATCGATATCAAAGTTGCAATATTGTTGTAGTACTTTCGCGACTCGGCGATTTGGGCCTCTAATTCCTCAATCTTTGCCTGATCATCTTCGGTCTGATCGCTCGCAACGGCGCGGCGCTTTGAGGACGGAACAGCCTGTTCGACTGCCTCCTTCGAGGACTTCTTTCGTTTCTTTGAAGCATTATTCGGCTCCATCGCGCCCGACATCATGACGACCTGGGGAAATTCTCCGTTCAGGGTTTTCGATATGGATATTCTCTGCTCGCTGCCTCAAATTGTAAATTTTGGATATCCCGCGGCTACTTTTTTCCGACCCAATCCGCCTTCCCCTTCGGGCTAGCGTCTTCTGCACCACCCAAACTCCATCCCGACCTCTTCTCGTCACTTCCGTTCCTCCATCACAGCACTCCACTCCCACGATCGCAGCAATGGCTTCGCGTCTGGCTAAGAGCGCCGTCGGTTCGTTTCCCGGGCCTTTGCACGAACAAATTGACTGTTTTCTGACTGGAAATTAGGCGCTACCCGCGTGCGACCGGCACTCGTTACCCGCAACATCCCTGCTATCACCGCCAACCTCACGGCGACTCGATCGGCCTCCAGCGTTCCGTCCGAGGACCCGAAGAAGAAGGCTCAGTCCATTCTTGACTCCCTGCCCGGCAACTCGCTGATTTCCAAGACTGCGATCCTTTCCGCCGGTGCCGGTCTCTCAATTGCTGCGATCAGCAACGAGCTCTATGTGCTGAACGAGGAGACCGTTGCGGCTTTCTGTCTGCTCAGTGTCTTCACTGCTCTCGCCAAATACGGTGGCCCCCTGTACAAGCAGTGGGCTGATGGCCAGGTTCAGAAGTACAAGGACATTCTGAACTCGGCTCGTGCCGATCACACCAATGCTGTCAAGCAGCGCATTGAAAATGTCCAGCAGCTGAGCGGTGTCGTTGAGATCACCAAGCAGCTCTTCGAGGTTTCCAAGGTGCGCACTCTCCATATCCAATGGCGCATGGACGCCTTGCTGATGACCCAATGATCAGGAAACTGCCAAGCTCGAGGCCCAGGCCTATGAGCTGGAGCAGCGAACCGCCCTCGCCGCCGAGGCTAAGCAGGTTCTTGACTCATGGGTGCGCTACGAGGGGCAGGTCAAGCAGCGCGAGCAGCGGGAGCTTGCTGAGGCTGTCATCAGCAAGATCCAGGAGGAGCTGAAGAACCCCAAGGTTCTCAAGCAGATCCTCGACCAGAGCGTTGCTGATGTGGAAAGTAAGTGATGGATCCAGAGATTTCTTTCCTAATTCAAATCTGACTGTGGTTTTCCAGGGATTGTGTCCGCCAAGTCCCAGTAAATGGTTACAAAATGATCCTTTCCTTGCCGTCTTGTACAAAATCCAAGGGCTGTTCGCTTTGTGATACACTGTAGACTTTCAATCTATTTACTTTTCCAACTACGTCCACCCTTGACTATGTTCCTTTGTAGAATATCAAGACTCAGAGAGGCGAATGAATGGTCTTGCCGTATAATTATCGCAGACGAGTTCAGGCTCAAATATCGATGCGTACAGCAGAGCTCCCTCGCTGGTTGCACATACTCTTTACCGAGGGCATTGTTTAGAAGCTGAAATATTTGAGACATTTCCCCTTTGATGTCTCTTTATGAATTAGGTGTCTGGTTACCTCTAGAGGGAGGATGTTCCCAAAATTTGGCTAATCATCTCTAAGCAAAATTTCCCCATAGTTGGACCCATAGACAAAGATGAACACCATTACACACAATGCTTGAGGCTGGCCGTAATCTATGGCTTCTAGCTAATGCACACAGATATTATATGTAGGCCACTCATTAGAAAAAGTGTCAGTAATCTTGACCACAGAATCCCTTGGCCAGTGGAGTCAAAAGTCTGCGGGCTTCTCAGGTATTTATATGTCTACGTATTCAGGATCAATCATGCTTTGACATCGATATGTGAACCCACTCCCACCGAGATTCGGGTACACTTTTTTATGAAGGAAACTTCTGGACAACCTCCTATTCACCGCTTCACACTTGTAGCAATCATCGAACGAGCCATGGATGGCTCATCCGCAGGCCAAGCCAGCCGCTGCGCAATTAAGGCTGTTCCAAGAAAGCCAGCTAAAATTAATGTGTTCACAGCCACAGTTAAGCGCTGACCTGGTCTCACAAGTTTGTATTTATTCTTTTTTCTCATAAATATAATAACATTGTCTATCAGCTTCAGAATTTGTCAATAATTTGTGTACAGAATCTCTGGTTTGTTGCATTCTTCACGACCGTGTAAAGCCACTACTGTACGTCACGCACCGCCGAAATCCCCACAACATCCCCCGCGCTTGACCGCCCTTCATGCCATTGAAAGAGGTACTTCAGAAGGACAGACTCGACGATCGGAGTGGCCAACCGCCTCCTTCCAGATACCCTGCACAAGAAATCAGATTTATTCGCACCGATACACACAACGCAGAGGTCATTGATCCGCCTGCCTTTGACGATGATCACCGCAGGTCTTCGTCTTACTCGCCCAGGCGCGGATCGTTCTTCCACCGGCACTCACCTGGACTGTCGCCTACCAGAGAAAAGAGCGAGTCACGACTCTCGAATCTGCTCCACATTGATCGGCCACGTACACGACGCGGCAGCGCGACCTCCTTGAATATACCCCCAGACCTCCCGCAGATTCAAACTGAGAACGGCGACACTGAGGAAAGAGAGGCGCAATGGGAGAAGAGGGCAACAACATTGATCCAAGAAAACCCACGTTTGGCATCGCCAAGCCGAGCTTTGAGTCCTCAAGGCGGACCACCTGGACAACGATCGAGGAGTCGCAGCAACTCGAGAGTGAACGATCCAGAGAGCGATGTAAGCAGATGTATCTTTACAAGCTACAGGCAGTTGAACTAGGTGTACTTACATCAGCGTAGGTTACCATCCAGGAGGCTATCCGTCTACATGAGGCTGGAGGTGAGAAGTGACAGTTACAAAAGAATCGAACCTCCGATGGAGGTTCCAACACTGAATAAACATGCTGACGCGTTGTTCTTCTACAGAGCTTGAAAAGGCAACCGAAATGTTTGGCGTCCTTGCCGATCCCAACGGTGCAAACAATGCCCTAGGTCAGGTGCTGTATGGGCTCGCTCTCAGGTGAGTTGAGCACAATTCGCACGAGGGGAGATATCAGCGGTCGCAAACAGAGGCTCATATCATAATATTTGTGATAGGCACGGTTGGGGATGCAAGGCAGATCCCGCCAAAGCGGTTACCTACCTTTCTGCCGCGGCATCAAATTCGGCTTCAGTCGAGGCAGAAGCGCTTCGAGCGGGCATGAAGAAAGGCGGTGCTGCCAAGGGTGAACTGGTTCTAGCGATTTATGAGTTGGCCAATTGCTTTCGTAACGGCTGGGGTGTCGAAAAGGACCCGGTTGCCGCCAGACAGTTCTACGAGACCGCAGCCAATCTTGGGGATACTGATGCCATGAATGAGGCTGCATGGTGCTACCTGGAGGGATTCGGAGGCAAGAAAGATAAGGTATCTTCATCCTCCCCTTTGACCCTGTCATCTCCTGCTCCTGGGCGAGGAGCCAAGCCTTTCGCGAGCTACGTCAAGTCACCTGTCAAGCACAAATGACTAAATTGACCGCTCTCAGTTCATGGCTGCCAAGTATTACCGGCTCGCGGAACAGCACGGCAACAAGTTGTTGGGAAATTCCTGGTACGTCAGCACTCTTTTCCTTATTTCTCGTGTCATCCTTCATCTCCCCCTTGAAAAATACTCGACTGCGGCTGTTCTCTCGGCAGCGTCGACTCCAGGATGGTGGTTCGCCATGCTGTGCAGATATCGTGTCTCAGATGTGATGCGGGTGATGGGCTCGATAGGCTCTCGTACACTGCCGCCGCGCTCAGCCTTGCACATCCTTGTTCAGTCTCCGCCAACCGTTCAACACCTCCTCCATCCACCAACATCCGCTATATACGATTTAGTACTTGCTTTTTCGCTTCGAGTTTGATGGCTGACGTATGGTTGCAATCTTCCAGGATATGGAAAGATAAATACAACCCCAAGTAAATTACGAAACTCCCAATACGCCCGCCTTTTCCCCCACCTGTTCTGTTAATCTCGATCGTCCCCGGTTGGCCGTCGAACCCCAGGCGTTCCAGGCTGCAAGCGATTCTGCCCTGTGTGTTCGACTACTTGAGCCTCGCGTCTGAGTCTCACGGATACCCAACGTCGCCTCATTCCTCTGCAAGGTATCTGGCATCCAATACTACAAAGGATATGAACAAGGATAAGGTTTGCGCCCTGAAAGCAAGGCTGTTCTCTACAAGGAATTTGCCGAACGTAGCTGCCTAGTCTATTCAGCGAAACTGTTTGATCCTGCGCTGATGCCTCTCGCGACCGATTTGGCCTTTTTGCCGAAGCTTGTGCTGGTGTTTCTGATAGTTTCCGTGTATAACGAGTATCCTTGTCTGATGTACTGTACAGTGTGGCTCTTTGATCTGGTTGATGTATTCTATGCGAAGTTGATACCCATGTATTTGCCTTGAGTCTGTTTCTTATAGTAGGGTAGTTGGTCTGTCTTTTTGCCTTTTTGAATTGCCCGATACGCTGTGACTTGTGTAGAGGTCTCGCTTCGCTTGACCGGTGTGAAGCGAAAAATACGGAGTAAAAAGCATCCGGTCTATGCCAGGACTTTGGCACTCAGGCCTGCCTGCTATGTATGTAGGATTTATAATCTACTTTGGGGCTGGCTTCCAACCAGCCAATATTATTATTCGCCATCTTCTCGGCAATATGCGTCTCTTTTGCTAATACATATCCCTTGCCAGTTTATGTATATTAATTTGGTGTGGTGTGCATGCCTGACTTTTGCAATTTGTGCCGATTAAGCGATGTGTACCCAAAAAATTCCCATTACTAATAGAGGGATCGTTGCCCTTAAATAAGTTGGTGTGTCTTTGGCTATTGCTATCAGCTAATGAATTCTGTTCTGAGCGAGTACTTTTTTGTGGAGAGTAGTGATGTGGAGGTTGTCAAAATGGTGCATGAAATGAAGTTGTTTCTTGGGAAACGAGCGACATTCCATATGCTGTAGATCACAGAACTTCTATGCGGTCTGTAACTTTTTTTTATACCTAGTGCTCAATTTTGTCTCTTTTTTAAGGTAACAAAACTCTCACAAAGTTGTGTGGTTCTCGCAATGTGCCGTGTATGCTGAGTGAGAATGGCTTGTGTCATTATATATAACTGAGACCTTACAAAGTTGGCATAATGTGTACTGTGTGTTTATTACTCACAGAACCTGCTGATCTGTGAAATGCTGTAGAAAGCACAAATGTGCCTAGAGTCACCATCATTATTTATTAGGTAGTATAATATTCTTATCTTAACACTGTCTGTAAGGATTGTTTGCAAAAGGGTCCAATTTTGGCGCACTAGGACACTGCAATGTAATTATTCTGCTGGGTGCAAAAGTAAAGTATCAGTTATGAAGTTCAGTTTCTATTAAGACTATTTTACAGTATATCATAATTTTTTTTGCTAGTGCTCTGTGCTCTGTGCTCTGTTCACAGAAAATGACCGATAGTGCGTTGTTGACCTACCAGCTGGCCGGAAAGTAGCGCGACCACGCATTTGCGGTGATCGCTTAGCCCGGTCCATGTTTACATTTTTCTGAATGACATCAAATTTTGCCCTCCCCCAACTTTTTCTCCAAACTCCATCCCCATCCTTACACCCCACTGGGTTTCTTTGATATTTCTTTGTCTAGAAATATCTCTCTTTCAATTCATCTCAGTATAGTCTTTCATTTTCATCATCATGCCCCCTAAAGGTGCAACTCGCGCACGCCGGCAAGCTGCGGCCCCTGCGGCTGCGCCGGCCACGGTGAAGTCAACCAAGCCGCGCGGACGTTCTGCGGGCTCAAAAGCCACGAAAGCTACAAAAGCCACGAAAGCTGCGAAAGCTACAAAGGCTACGAAAGCTGCGAAGGCTAAAGAGCCAAAGAAGCCGCTCCAAGAGGCCAAGGCAAACACTGGCGTGAAGCGGAAGGCAGAAGCTGAACCAGAGGAAGCGAAACCTGTCAACAAGAGACAGAAACGCGGTGCCGAAGCGCGTGTCGCACCACCGCCCGAGGCCAAAAAGCCCAAGAAGGAGAAAATCGTCCTGAACCACGCTCCTACTACGCGTCTGGATGTGTTCGTCTTCGGATCGAACAGTAATGGAGAGCTTGGGCTGGGCGACACGTTCAAGAAGGCCGAGTGCCCGAGGCCCAAGCTCAACTCCATCCTCTCGGACGCCGGGGTCGTCCAGATCTCGGCTGGCGGAATGCATTGTGTGGCTCTTACCCATGACAACAAGATCCTCACCTGGGGCGTCAACGATCAGGGCGCGTTGGGAAGGGACACTCAATGGGAGGGTAAACTGGTCGATATCGACAAGGCAAACGAGGAAGACTCGGATGAGGAAGACGATGAAATTGAAGTGAACCCGCGGGAGGCCACGCCCACTGTCATTGACATGTCTGGTGTGGAGCCTGGCACAGTTTTCACACAGGTTGCAGCAGCAGACAGTGCCTCCTTTGCTCTTACCGACGAGGGCAAAGTCTACGGCTGGGGAACTTTCCGAGTAAGTCGCTTATCCGTCAGCTCTCTGCTTATCCTGAGCGGAAACTAATCTTTGTCTGCACAGGGAAGCAATGGTGTTTTTGGATTTTCCCCGGATGTCGAAGTCCAGCGACGACCGACCTTGATTCCCGAGCTTCAGAACGTGACCAAGATCGTCGCTGGAAGCAACCACGTCATTGCGCTCTTGTCCGACGGCACAGTCCACACCTGGGGTTCCGGGGAGCAGGACCAACTGGCACGGCGTGTCGTGGAGCGGCGTAAGAAGATGCATGCGCTTCTGCCGCAGAGGGTCGGGTTGCGCCGAGGAATTGTCGATATCGCCACTGGACCGGATCACGCGTTTGCCATCCACAAGAACGGCACGGTGTACAGCTGGGGCTTGAACAACTATGGGCAGACTGGAATTCCCTCGAAGGCAGGGGAGAGTGAAGCTACCATCCTGAAACCGGCGGCGGTGCCCAGCCTGAAAGGTCGCGGCAAGATCGTCCGTATCGAGGGTGGTAACTTCAACAGTATTGCGGTTACCGAGCACGGCGAGTGTCTCGTCTGGGGCCGGATCGACAACAAAGCCATTGGAATCGACGCGAAGGATCTCCCTGAAGACGACGTGATCTTTGATGAACGCGGCAAACCGCGTATTCTCACCGTCGCTACGCGCATCCCGACCTTCGAAGCCGCCACTGCCGCGTTTGGTACCGAACATGCCATCGCCATCACCAAGGATGGCAAGGCTTACAGCTGGGGGTTCAACTCGTCGTACCAGACCGGACAGCCGACTGACGAGGATATCTCGGTGGCGACGCTGATGGACTCGAAGTCGATCCGCGAGAAGAAGCTGATTTGGGCCGGTGCTGGAGGGCAGTACGGCATGGTGGCTTCAGAGCACGCTGAACCGGCAGTCAATGGTGTGGCTGAATCTGCTCCCGCCGAATCTGCACCGGCTGAAACTGCCCAACAGGAATCTGGTAACCAGGAATCTGCTAATCAGGAATCTGCCGCACCTGAGGCATCCACATCCACTTGAATGACCTGGTCGACATCCAATTAAGCCAGCTATATCAAGAAAAAGTATAGAACGGGGTAAGGAGGCAACAAGCGAAGCACAAGACAGACGCAAAGTTGTTGATGGAGTAATATCTGCTGTACATAGTTGGTTTTTTACTTTTGTTGTTGGTTGTTGCTCTTGATTCATTTTATCTAGTTTTGATCTTGTTCTTGTTGTTCAGTTGCAGTTGCAGTTAATTCTGTTTTGTTTTGTTTTGTTTTGTTTTTTTTTTTTCATCCATTAATAGATAGAGTATCGATATATGGATTGTCTTCAATCAATCAACCTTTAATCTTTTCTAGTAGAGAGAGAATGCGCATGCACCACACCGTACGTATGTGCAGTGCAGTACAGAGTACATACATAAATAGATAGACTCCTATATAGTCTATACCTTGGTAGCTCGGTACGACTCACCGTACTGTACTCCGTACCTAGGCAAAAAATTATTTTTGATGGCGATGGCGATGGCGACGACACTCGTCATCAATCACCTAAGTTAACGCAGGACAGTGGACACAAAAGAGGCGGTGACGGTTGACCAGCCCTGCCGCTCCTGCGCCCTGCTAATTACCTCCACCACAACAAAACAGACAGACCTATCAGATATCATATCCACCATGTTTCAAATATTAGTTTATGTAGTTATTAATAGTTAGTTAGCTGTTAGTTACAGGACTTAGAGTGTGAGACTCGGAGTACTCCGGTAGTACCTAGTACAGCAAGTACCTAGTACCTACCCATCGGTGAATTCCATCGTTCATACATCGTTCATACAATAGGGACCCATAGCAACTAGAACAGTAGAACTATAATAATTAATGTATGCATGTATGCATGCATGTTACGTTATGGAGTACTTAGTTACTGTATGTAATAACCTGTAGTCTTTTTTTCGAGTTTATTATTAGTTTAGCGAATAGACATACATACCTAGGCTATGCAGATATATAATGTTCATTCGGGTGGAGTGGAGTTCCTCTGTACAGATATACTGTATACTCTAGAGCTAAAATATACCTGAATATACCTGCGCCTCCTTATTTTTTTTCTTTTGGTCTCTCCTCTTCTTTCTCTCTCTCTCTCTCTTTTTTTTTAGTTCTTTCTTTTTCTTCTTTTACGGTCCTGTACTTCTTCTTCTCTACGTATGTACTGTACAGTACATGGACGTACTTAGGTACATACATACATACATTGTGTGATCTATCTAATTAGGTAGCTGTCGACTTAATAACTGCTATTGGTAGATACATACAAAACTTTCTGTACTGTAATAACAACGGTAATAATCAGGAAGAAAAATAAATAAATAATAAAATGTGGCGGTGAAGTTAAGTCACCGCCTCCTCGTTTTTTTTTCCTCCGTCTTTTCCTGGGGTTTTCTTGGGTTTTTCCTGATTCCTTTTTTGCTTCTGCTTCTGCTTCTGCTTCTGCGTCTGCGTCTGCGTCTGCGTCTAGACGTTCCTGCAGGATACTTGCATGTTGCATGTTGCATGGACATACATAGAATACAGACAGTATGTATGTACAGTACGTACGTACGTACGTAGGTTCTACTCGGTTATAATGAGGAGATGGGATATCTCGAGTTTACGATACTCTTGCTAGAGATCTACTTAGAGAAAAAAAAATGTCAGGGTATTCAGAGTTTGTGTCTCGCTCGTTTTATTCCATTATCAACTCGGCCAGCAAGCAGTGACACAGCTAACTAAGTACTATTAACAGCTAGTAGTGTCAGGAATCGAAACGAGGATCGAAATATTCTGTTCTCATAATATTGACATGACAAAGATTGACAAAGGAAATGGTGAGTCTGACAGGAATCAGTGGAGCTAGCTCCACAAGAAGAGAAAGAAAAGAAGGAAAGAAAGAAACGAGCGACTGGATGAATGAATAGAAGAAAAGATGAAGTACAAGTAAACAAAAACAGACATTCAGGGTCGTAACTCGTTATAATAATGCTTCATCATAATCGTAACAGATGTTCGCCGTCCCAAGTCCAAGATGCCGGTTACTGGCTGCGACTTGCCAGCAGGTGCAAAATTATGTAAAAAACAAGATTGAATCAAAAGTTGAAGAAAGGAATGAAAAAAAAAGGACCTTCTGGGTCTGCATGTTGATTCCGTTCTGTTGTTCCGTTGCCCCTGTTCGTATGCTGTAGATCAAGTTCTCCGGCCCCAGACCTGGACGGAAGGTCAACCCAATTTCATGACATGCCACCTGTACATATGAAGAAACACAACAAAACAAAAAAAAAAAACAGACAGAATTACTCAAAACCAAAAAAACCAAACCCGCCAAACTGCCAACCCGTCCATGCTATCTTCCGTGTTCATCCACTTACACATAAAACATGTCATCCGAATTATGCCAGCAAACTCCAGAATCCAGAAACAAATCCCACATGATCGCTAAATCACAAACACCAAGCACACAAAATAAAACACACAAGACATATCTCATCATGCAAGACCCATATATGACATAATATCATCCAACATGAACAAAGGAAATGTGAAGCGTCGAGCTACCAGCAATTTAAAGCGTGCTGTCCGCTTATAACTGTCGGAAAAGATCATAGTCGGGGCGGTGCGTTAGGGAGTGAGGATGAGAGACAAGTTAAGTACATGAACGCGAAGTCTCAGCTTGGCTAGGCCAGCCTAGCCTAAACCTGAAGAGGTCCTCAGCGGAGAGAGAAAGGATCGAAGAATGGAGGGGAGGAGATCGGTATCCCGCCCATGGCAAGCAGAAGAAAAAAAAGAAGAAGATTCTAGCAAGAGCTGACAAGCGAGCAACAACAACCGGACACCTTGGCGAGATGGCCTTGACCTTAGTTGGTGGTATCCGTCTTCTCGTCGATGGAGCCAGCACCGCATTCTCGAACCATGCGTTTGAAGTCGCGCACAACTTTCTCGGGCACACGATCCCACAACAACGACCTCGTATACACGTCCGACGTCACCTTCGCCTCCAGACTCTTGTGGTTGCCATTGTTACGCATGGCGGCAAGGGCCTGTTGGAGGTTGGAAGGTTGCTGGGGCTTGAAGTCGACACCGTCATCATCGAAAGTTGTCAGCGCATTATACTGATCCGCGTTGAGGGAAAACACCTGTTCGTTCTCTTGCTCCTTGGTGGGCATGGCGAGCGCATTGTGAAGCTCATCGAGACTGGAAGGGGCCGTGACGGGAGGAGCAGAAACCGAGGTCATCTGGGCCATCTCAGCACCAGAGATGGTGGTCGGAAGAGAGGCACCGTTGGAGGAAGCAGATGCAGCTGGAGCCTGGTTGGCAGAGGGCGACACTTCGGCAGGTGCGGAAGCCAACACAGCCTTCAAGACATTCGCCGACTCAGCGCGGTACTCCTCCGAAAGCTGGGGAATGGTCGTGGTCGAGAGCCTGGCGCTATTCGATGCGATGAAAGCACCAAACAGAAGACACATGTAGAACGCATTCCAGCTGAACGGATAGTCTTTCGCGGCTTTCTCGGCCTTCTCGTTCTTAGTGGGAGCGAGAAGCGTCGAGTTGTCAGGCGCGGACGATGTCGGCGCGGACGACGCCGGCAGCGTCTCCGTCTCGAGAGAGAGGCCGTTGACCATCGAGAAGTCCTCCCATGGGCTGCTGTCCATGGTGAGGTTCTCGAAATCGGAGAACTCGTTCGAGAAGGTGGACGTCGTGTTGTTGTTGTTGTTGTTGTTATTGTTGTTATTGTTGTTGTTGGACGCTTTCAGTTGGCTCTCCAACTTCTCCATGGTCTCGCGGAGGATGTTGTTCTTCTTCCGAAGCTCCGCTGTCTCCAAGGTGTGGGCGCGGATGAGCTCGTCCTTTTCCATGTGGAGACCTTCGATGTATTGGTTGATCTGTTGCTGGGTGGCCAACCACTCGCTCTTCTCTCGGAGAAGCTCGGCTTCCCGCATCTTCATGTTACGGAGTGCTTCTTCCAGCTCGCTGATGACGTTGGTGAAGTGCTTCTTCTCCTCTTCCAGCTTCTCGGTGTGGAGTTTCTTTCGTTGACGGGAGTCAAGTCTGGAGCGGTCACGGTTAGAGAGGAACATGAAGAAAAGGAAAAAAAAAAGGAAAAAGGTACTTACGCTGCCTGTCGATTCCGAAGTAGACGCTTCTGCTGCTTCAGCTCCTTGATCTCTTCCTCATTGGTCGATTGCGCAATCAACTGATCGATATTGCTGAGGGTGCGCTCCGCGGGGATCTCAAACCTCGCGTTCTTCTTCCGAATCCCATCACGCCGGACGTGGAGAGTCGAGTCGCTCCGGTATGTCGGACTCCGTGTCGTCGGTCGTGCCTGATTATTCGGAACCTCGGCTGTCGTGGTCGTGGTCGTGGTCGTGGTCGTCGTCGCCGCCGCCGTCGTCGCCGTCGTCGTCGGCATCCAGCCTTGGCTGGATTGGGGAGACATGGCAACGCCGCCAGGGGCACCAAAAACAGCCCCGGGGCGATAGGTCATCTGAGAGAAGTTGATGGAGGAGACCGGGCCCACAGCACCGCCGGAGAAGGCGCCGGCGGAGTTGGCGTCAAAATCATGCGAGAACTGATCGTACACCTGGGAGGGTGTACATGATCCGGAATCTCGGGACATGGGCCATGAGGTCTGCTGCCCATAGTTGGGCATGAAGGTGTTGCTCCCCGAATCGTACATGGAATTAGCCATTTGCGAGTTCTGTCGAGATTGTGGATGTGAGGCGGGCTGTTGCTGCTGTTGCTGTTGCTGCTGTTGCTGTTGCTGCTGTGGCTGTTGTTGCGTCTGGAAATCGCCCCAAACGGGTTGATCTCGATATGATAGACCGTCTGTGCTGTGGTCGTAGGATGATCGTCGGGGATCTGCCATGGAGGAGACGTCGGGGGTGGAGTCAAGGATCTTATCATCCAACACACTCATCTCGTCCTCTTCTGAGAAAGCGGCTTTGGAGTCTAGTGCCGAAGGCGACTGCTGGTAGAAATCAAACGGCTGCTGCGAGAAACGGGCCATAATGTGGAGAGAGATGTGAAGGGAGGATGGATCGCGGAGACGAAGAAAAAGAGGCGTGGGAGGAGGAGGCAAGCGAAGCCGTCGATGATAGACGATAAAGAGGCGGTGTGTGGTTTGGTGCGGGGTGACAGGCGCGCGCACACACACACACACACACGGGAGGAAGAGGAAGGGACGAGGAGGAGAAGGAGGAGGAGGATGGATGGATGGATGATAGAGGACAGTCAGGCAGAATCAAAAATCAAAGAGGTCTGCACTGTCGAGACCTCTCTGAAGACAGAGCTGGATGTGCTGTGGTCGTTCAATGCTGGATCTGATATCCAGGGGAGCCATATATCTAGTATCCAGGTATCGCGAGAGGAACGCACTAGAGCACCGAGGTGCCGGCCCGAACGAGTCATCCATGGGTGCGTCGCAGCGACGGCGGCGGGAGGAAAGGTTAGTTCGAGCCCGCCCAGCAAGCGGCCCTGTGGCAGCCACCGGCAGTATGGGCAGTGGGCACCGAACGCTGGGCCGGCCTCCACTGGCAGCAGCAGACGCGACGGCCAGCGGTCTGCGGGAACCAAAAGCGAGGCGACGTTTTCTCGTGTATTCCGAGTTTGGCGGTGCGCGGTCATTGGGTGCTTCGCGGTCGTTTTGGGCAGACTTGCAGCGGGAGGAAAGGCGTCGTAACAGCCGTATTATTACGCAGTGTATCTGCCGTATTTTTGGTACCGGCGGGCGGCCGTGCGGGCTGCCCAGCGCCAGCCGCGCTCAGCCAGTGCTTTGCGGGCGGCCGTGATGGCCCCACGGCCTCTGCCTTCTGTCACGATGCCTGGGTGGCCCAGTGTGTCTGCTGCAGGCATCCTGACTGGCCCTGCGACGTGCTCGTCAGGCTAGCTGTGTCGTTGCATCCAGCCGAGGATGGCACACTGGCGCCGCTGGGAGACTGGATTGGATCGGATCGGGGACGCTGGTGGTCGTCGCGGGCACGGTCTCCCTTAACCTATCGATAGGCATCCCTCATGCTCATCATCCTCTTCCATCCTTCCTGTGCGGCTGCTCCCGTTCGACAGGGTTGACGGGAGAAGTTCCCGGTGTCGTGAGGGCCGCTGACACGGACTTGTCTTTGTTTCTTTGGCCTAATTAATTGTACCTGTCGAGTCCAGCAAGTAGTAACTAGTTCTGGGTGCGCTCTGCTCTGCTGATCGCCTTAGTGAACCCGTCTGAGCATAGATGTCCCACCCCGCCATCGAGTTCTCTACTCCGTAACCAGTTTCTTTCTCACGGTCTGTACCGCGGCGGAGCGAGGTTGGACAGTGCGAGAACCAGCAAGCCCCTGTAATACCATCTCGCTTGCATTGTTTTGGATGCTCTGATTGCCCGATGGAGATAGTCCAATGTCCCGTTTTGACTATTCTCCGGGGTGATGCACCGTAATCATGCCACCAGGCTTCTTTGTGTACATACCCTCTCGTGCTGGCATAGAGGGGGTGTGGTGTGTTGCTGGGTATCTCGATACGTATGGTAAAGACGCCGATTAATGGCTGTATTATTATTGTTGTCCGATGCGATCAGATGGACGGCGTTTCGTCCTGACAGAAGTCACCCACCCCATGATCCTCAGGAATATGGGTGTGTGACCTCTGCCACCCCTAAAAAAGCGGACAGGGTGATTCCCATGATCTCTCGACTCGTGACTCGAAGGAGCTCTGACGGGGTCACTTGTCCTCCCCCTCCCTCTGTCAAGGGGAAGTCTCTGCTGATGGAAGGGACGTGGCCTTAGGGAAGAATCTCGAGTGATCGATCGGATCGCCAGGTCGATCTAGGGAAAAGCCCAAGTTGCTCGCAGGCTGGAAGACCGTTTCCGCGATCACCGCTCAGCGGCTGGGCAGGCACGACGGAGGCGGTGTCTCTGCTTCTCTGCGCGTGTCTGGAGGCCCGTATGGGAAGGCACAAGCAGGAACAAGGACTAAACAGGTAAAGCGCAGCTCGTTGTGGAGGGGGATCCTGCGTACGGGACGTGACAGCGTTACGATACAGCGCGGGCGTCATGACGGGTAATACCGGACGGCCTCGCCGAATGGCAGATCTCGATTCGCCTCCTGCCCTGTCACCTGCCTGGCTAAGGGCCGGCCCGCGGGGAGATCCACTGGCCGCGAGACGCGATCCCGATTGCTGCTTTTCCCGGAAGCGTTAGCGCGGGTCCTGCGATCACCACGCGCCTGCGACCTAATCACAGCGATCCGTGTGACTGCCAGGCACGTTATCTTCCCCACCCGTGTGTGCGCCCGCAACGCCCGCTGCGACCTCTGACACGAAGAAAGATGGACTCGGCCGTCGTCCACCGTCAGCGCCATCTGCACCTGCCTGCAACCAGCAGCATCCAGCAGCGGCTGCACGCACGGCGGACGCAAAGCTTAGACTTGCCTCCATGGTAGCGAATCAGAGGCCCTCAGACGAACCTCAGCAATGGTTCTTCCTGCTGATGCTTTCGCGGAAAGGTCTGTGCCAGTCCGAATCCTCGTCGTTGGGTGCTTGCGCAGCTGTAGAGAGATGATCTCATATTCCCCCTCCAGGAATCCAGCCAGTCTCAAGATAGGTAGGCTCTTTCTCTCCTCTTCGTAAGGCATCTGTACTTTTCGTTCAAGGCATCAAATCAGGCCTCCATTTCAGCGGCCTGAGTGAGTGCATCTCTTTTCTTCGTGTCTTCTGAGCCAATCACTTGGAGAACAGATTTGGTCGACCGTTTCCCCGGCCAATAACTCCCCGCAACATCCAGCCTTGATCAGGGACCAAGTCTGTCATGCTTATTTCCTGTTCCGATCGGGACCCATAGCCGGATCGGCCAAGGGCCCATGCCCATCGTGGACCTTTCTTTGCCCAACGGAGAAATCGTCAAGCCTGATCAGGCCGGGGCAAGCCCAAATCCAAGTGTCGATGATTGATATCGAAATCTCACCAGTGTCTGCACAGTGGAGTCGTGGCTAGTGCTGGCTGCTTCATGCTCCGTATGGGCACGGAATCGACACAGCTGCATCCGTCAAATTTCAATCTGGACCGTTTCAGAGAGGTGGAGACATGACCGTTTAGGACACGAGTTAGGAACAGTTCCTGATAACAAGCAAATGAAATGATGTCACTCTGTCGGTGTGCTTGGTGGAGGCGCATCACTGGCATTTGCAGGAACAGCAGATCGAGATCACGAGGCTAGCCCGTCTTGGATTGGTCGAGAAGGCGAGTCACCACCGGGCCAGTTGATTGCGGCTTGCGGGATGAAGCCGTCAATCACATTAGTCAAGGAGAGCAGTGAGATGGACGATACTGTATAGAGTGTCTTCACATGATGACGGTTCTGCGGTGTGGTGAGGCGGTTGGGGAGACGACAGTCTGTAATCTAGGACGAGAACTGGCATTCTACAGAATGGAACAATCTCCTTTACTCTGTTTGAGGCAGGTCCTGTGACTGACGCCAGGCCTCACGCCCAGCCTGGCAGGGGCAACTGACCTAATTGACCAATCCATTGCTGTCCTAAAGAAATCCATCTTTACTTCTTCTGTCCAGGGGCCTCATAATGTTTGAGATGCAAGTAGCTGTAGTTCTCGTCGAAGTTGAGCCAACGCCATAATTCTCGACTGACTGACTTGTCCGGCTGGTTCACATGCCTACGGAAAGATCTGTACGGATCCATTGTATTCCTGCAAAGTACTTTACACGAATTTACAATTGTAGCAGCAGGTCTGGTTTGAAGCCTGGCACCGTTGCAAGCTCAAGAATACAGAATGAATGATGACGTTGAAGGATTCCCCTTATCTCGCGAGTCTTCCGTCTGTACAGTATGCATGAATTTTCTACAGCGCCAGAGAGGGAGGGGAGGGCCATGATTCGTCGCGACCTATTCTCCGGCATCTCTGCATCCACGGCGTGCAGAAGATTTGGAACACATTGCAGACAGAGAGTCTCGTATGTAAGCAACAGATTCATCTTCCATGCCAAAAAGGGAAAATCCAACGCTCTCTGAATTCAGAAAATCCTTCGAAATGCTCCGGCCATCCCGACCAACCTGCCTGCGGACTGCAGCCCCCAAACAAGCTACACCACGAATAATGCTGATATGCAACAGCTACATCACAGCAAACCATATAATTGGTAAACGTGCATTGCATCGCTATAGACAACCTGTCCAGGCGTGTGTCGAGTACGTCACCAAGGCGGGTGGTGGTCCGTCCTCCAAAGGGCTATCCGCTCCGACCAATCAGAGGCGCCCTGGCTATGACTCACAGCTTTCTGGCCGCAGAGTCCCTCCTGTTTCCCAGGAGAAGCGCGCGCACGAAATTCCCTTCCTCGCATGGTCCCAATTCATTTTAGGGGATTTTCCTCCGTGATGGAGCCCTGTTTCATGATATTGATTCCTGCCACGTTGTTCCAGTGAATAAAATTGGTTCATATTTTGCGCCGCCAGAAAAAGCGGGAGGGACACTGGCCAACGTCTAACCTAATGCTGAAGTCTGTATGCACGGAGAATGAACCGTTTTTTTTAAACCTACCTACTAAAGTTTGTCGTTTCGGATAGAAACGCAAATAGGGCTATAATGGTCGAACGAATCGGATCAGGAACCAGCCATCCTAAGGAACTGGTGAAACACACGTATAATGAAATGCTCTGCTCCGTGGTGAAGCAATTAGGATCACTATCACTAATAATAAATCGTTCTTAGCGAAGAAGGAATGAAACGGTGTTTGCAGTCCATCGCGTATGATGACAACAGAAGCTCAACCACCTACTACCGCTTGCTACGTAAGACGTACATACGGTGATGGTGATGATCGTTATTAGAACAATGATTATTATATTCTTTTAGTAAATTCGCAGCTTTTTTCCTCTCTCATGCAGGGTGCAATCGCCTTATCCAGGAAGAACAGCAACAACAGCAAAAATCGAGAGCATTAGGATCCTCGATGACGTCGTTGCGAGTATACACTCCTAAACCCGCTCTCTCCCCACAAAGTGCCATTGCATGCAGTTTGATTTGACCGGAGAATTTTCCACCAGTGATTGACTCATTATTGCTTCTGTTTCCCTTGGAGTTCAGCGAGCATGGATCACGAATTACACTGATATGGATATGATGAGTTACATACTGTACAGTACAGTGCATACTTTGGAACGCTCAGGAGATGCTCTCTGCCGAATACGGAGTCAATGCAGCCAGTATATGCAAACTCTACCTTTGCTACAAGCAATTACTCACTTTAGAGAGTCCATTCCCTCCGTTTCTGTAGACAGAGGATGCCACTCACCGACTCCTTCTCGATTGTTGTCATTTTACTGTATACATCGCAGTGGGGCCGGCCCGTTGGCGGTTGATCGGCGGGAATGGCTGAATCTGAATCCAGTACCGCGCCGCAGGTACCTGCCTCCAGGTAAGTAGAGTACTAAGTAGTAACTTAGTACTTAGGTCATAAGGATGGGAGAGTCTACGACTCTACCTACCTACCTAAGGTAGGAGAGTATGGAGAGTATGGAGTAACGGGAGGAGTAGTCCCGCATTATTCCCATCTGGACGGATTTGTTTCTCTCTGAAAACCAATTAATGAAATCGATCCTCACCTAATTTGCGAGACTACTGCAATGCAGAGTGGTGTGTGGCAAAGCCCTCCCTCCACGGTCCACCCCCTCCTTATCAAGAGAGAGAGTGTGTGTGTGTTTGTTTATTTTCGGCCGATTTCTTGCATTCGACGTACATCCATTCAGCATTAGTGTCATTGAGCAAAATGAAGATAATAATAATCAGGCGGGGTTGAACTGACCCGAGTCAATACACGATGAAAAAATGATGAAGTGGTGGCGCTTTTTTTTTTCGTGCCCAACCGAACCGGACGCGAATGCAGCTTAACGTGGTTCCTGTTTTTGGGGTCTAAACATGCTTGAGGGAGACCCACACCCTTTGCGCAGGAGTATGAGTCATAATCAGCTTCCTGAGAATGGAGAATGGGTATGGAAGAAGCATGGAGGGGGAGGGGAAGGAAAAAAAATTGAGAAAGAAAAAGAGAGAATTTGATGACGAGAATGTACTAGACATTAATCGAGTTAGACGATAGCAGAGAAGTTCAGAAGAAATCTATATGATAGCCATTGATAGATGTATGTAAAGTAGTATGCTATATCAAGACTATGACGGTAAATAAGATGTGATCGAGAACCATTGAGCACTTCAGAACCTGTTTTTTCTTTCTTTTCTTTTCTTTCTTTCTTTTCTCTCTGCCTTGATCCTTTTCCAAGGTCCATGAATCCACTGGAGAATAGTCATCTTGATAGATGGACATGGCATGTCAAGATACAGCCCTTGCATGTCACTCAGTCCAAATGTCTTTTACAGGTCTTCTACTGATACGCTGGTAATGACTATTCATTCAAGAAAGAAATCAGAAAACAAGAGAAAATTCCATTATGCTATGGTGTACTCCATGATCGAAACCACAATGAAAAAGTCGCCGCAAATCTTCAGGGTATCTCTCATGCACCTCCCAGATCACCAACGCCAAAAACACAAAAGAAGACGAAAAGAAAGGTCGTAAAGAGAAACCGCGGGAATAAGAGACATGTCGAAAATTGCCCAGCCAGAAGGGAAACTATGGTATACAGGGGCAATTGACTCTCAACGGCTGGGCGAGCGGGCGCGGCAATTAAACCTACAGCTTGCTTCCGGGTCACTGCACGATTAGTGGCTCAAGGAGGGCAAGGAATCTAGAAACGGACAAAATCCTTCTGTCCCGAGAGCTCGCTATCCTCAGCACCGCCCTCGATGACTTCCACGGGATCATCGTCAAGCTCATCGGAGTCGACGTCATCAGAATCGATCTCGTCATACTCCTCTTCATCACTAGAGACGTCTTCCTCTCCATCGGGAGTGGGGGATTCTGCTCTGTTAGCAGCATTCTTCCGAATCTGCCCGGCCCTGTCAACATGGGGTAAATGGCATTTCCTCTTGTTGCAGGTTCCTGTGTTGGCATAATCCGGACACTCGTAAACGTGCCGCTCCTCGCATTCTGCACCTTTTTCACAGTATCCCAGGACTGCAAATGCCCGACAGACAGGCGCGCCCGGGGTTACACGAACATGAGCATAGCGGCATTCCGGATTCGAACAACGTCCTCGGAGAAAGTGTACGCAAACTGGGGATCTATGAGGTGACGGTTCGTGCGAGAGATCACAGCTCTCTCCAGCATGGCATTTACCGATCTGAAGGAAGTCCTTGCAAATGGCAACTTTGTCGGGATTGTGGATGTAGGGGCAAGCTGGTCCTTTGTAACAAGTTCCTGAATCGTTTCAACTTGTGTCAGTATCCAAGCAGAACTGATGTGTTTTGAATACTCGTCAAAAAGCCCAGACGAATGATAAGCTCGGGACCGGGAAACTTGGAGCATGGGGCACGGGAAAAGAGAGAGTCGGGTACCCGTTCGAGAAAATCTCTTGCAAAGCTCGTCTTTTTTCTTGACTTTGGCCAGTTTCCTGTACACACGCTAAGTAAGGGTTCACGGTCTTGTTACGTCACATTCATCATCTACCTTTTCGATGCAACTGCACCAAGGCGGTGGAGATTGCCCTTCTTACTTCGAACGAATGTGACGCCGCCAATGGTCACTCTCTTCGGGGTAGCATTTGCGGTTGATGGGTCATCTAACATGGGTAAGCCAGCTCTCGAACGCATTTCCTGGGGGGTGAGTTTCGCACTGGATATCCTGATCAATTTGCTTCCACCTCGTGCAACCTGGAAGGGAATATCATTCACCATAATCTGGTAAGACGTTGGTCGTTGGGAGGTCCCAGCAGCCTGGGCTGGAACAGCACTAGGAAGTTGCCGTCCGTTTCCATGCACGTATCTCATGACCTTGGCTTCCTCGGCCTTAGCTCGTCTCTCGGCCTTGAGCCTTTGTGTCTCCGCGATTGCCTTAGTTCTCGCCTGCGCTTCCTTATTGTAGATGGCAGAGTTGATCAGCTGTATATGGCGATCGCGTTTCGCAACCCACCCATTTGAGCCTCCCGGCTTGACCTCACCGTCATGGTCGCCGGAGTTACCAGTCAAGTTAGCCTTATCCGCTGCAGGAGCCTGGGGATTGTTAAGGACGAGAGTCCGATTGCGATGAGTTACGGGACGTCGCTGAGGCCCTCTGACACGATACGGTGCCCAGCCACCACGCTGGTATCGTGTGTTATAATATGAGGCATTTGGATGCTGACTCTGTGCTTGCGAAGCTCGGTTTTTGTGCTGGTTGATCTTGCCTGCGCAAAGATAAGTATGATGATTGAGCGGAGACATGAATTCGCAGATCGCTAGCTGGGACTTACCAGCAAGCTGGCTGATCTTTGCAAGGAGATCTTGCTCTTCTGTCATTTTGGCCAGGCCAGAAACTGTGGAAGCAGCCTCGGCCGAAAGTCACAGTGAACGTACGGAGTAAGGTGATGAGGTGGTGGCTCTTTGATGTCTGTTGAGGAATGGTGGAAATGGACGCCGCGTCGCCGCTTAGTTGGGTAGCCGATAGAGGTCACGTGAGAGGCGTCTGTGGCTGGCTGCTGTATAGAGGCATAATACATCATACCCACTGACATATATGATTTCAAATAGTAGAATAAAATTCGAAAGAAAAGTGTACATTCTCAGTTTTCACTGAGTGCTACGGATCCTTTTAAAACCAACTCAAGCTTTTGGCGGCGCGGCTTATGTTCCTGGTCTTAATTCTACGGTTTTAATCCATTATACAGGCATCTCGAATTATAGGCTTCCCTTTCAGAATATAGGTGGGGAGGCATGTTAGTAGGCAAACTGGCGTATAGTTACTTAGTCCCGTATAAAAAAGGCAGACAGCCAGAGAGTCTGGCATTTTAGTCTGCAGAAGGTAACGAAACCCTTACTGTTTTGTAATCGCAAGAGGTAGTTATCAGGAGAAGTTCCATCCATATTTGCATTGATTCCTGTCTATTCTTCGGACTAACATACCATACAAAACCTTCCTGTAAAGTTCAAAATTAAGGAAACCATACCAGAACATGATCTTCTCAGCCAATACCGAAACGCCTATAAATGCAAGAAAGATTCAATAAGTCGTCACATCACACTCTCAAACTGGACATCTTCATTATCCGATCCAGCCCCCTCGGCCATGCCCTCATCTTCTGATGGTTCATCATTGTAGCCTGTGTCAGGCGGAAGTTCTTCCTTTGCCTGGGACAGTGCACTTGCATAGCTACTCTCCCTGGCTTCAGGCTTAAGCTCCCACGTCATGGCGAAATCACCCGATTTCACCAGGTGGGCGACCATCTCCAGTGTTTGCTTCAGGTATGATTCAGGCTGTTGGAGTCTCGCTTTCAAGGCCTTAAACGGCCAATACTTGTATTCCCGGAAGCATTCGTAGATAAGATCCAATAGTTCGTTCTGCGGCATACGGGTAGTCTTGTTTTCCTGTGTGCGAGGTTTTACAGGCTTTGTCGCTTGCTGTATGGACATTAGTCGAAGGAAACCAAAAAAAGTGGGGGTAAGAAGGATTCTGCGATAATACTGACCACAAACGCGCCCTTGTCGCCCGGCACCACATTCTTGGGCTGGAGCATCTTGCCGGTAATCTTGGGAACGAACTTGGTTTCACGTTTTGGCTTGAGGGCTTCGAGAGCTCGAGCTTCAGATATCCGTTGGTATTCTTCGTTCTCGACGGGAATGCAGTTGAACTCATCCCTAACCTTTGCCACGATAGCGGTTTGCTCTGCAAGAGTGCCAAAAGTCAGTCCATCGCCGTATATCCAGATTCTACCTGACCGGGAACATACTGGGTATTGTTTTCCGCACATAGGGCTCCCACTTCTTTTTGTGAGTTTTCTTCCTTGCCTCCCGTTTCATGGACTCGTAAAGCATGGAGCGTGCCTCGCCAAAGAGGACATCGACCCGATTCTTGTAGCCAGGGAGATCCTTTTCCGTAAAAATATAACTATTTTGTACCGGGTAAGACGTATTATCGGGGTTCACATTCTGACGCTTGAGGATATAGTCTTTTGGAATGTCTTTGTTTCCGGGATGCTCGTTGAGCCGCAAACTGACCTACAGGAACGAGTTAGGCTTCGCAAACACTTCCAGAAGACAGTTGAAGCATCGAAACATACTCTCTTGATGTCTGTGGGATCACCTTCCACTCTGATTGTGCCGATCTGTATCTCCTCGTCGTCGTCCAATTTCGACCAGTGCTCCCAGAGGGACTTCGGGATGCGCGTCAACCAGACATTTTGTCCTGCCTGTGAAAAATCTAGATCCCCAGCATCCTCGTAGATGTCCTCGTCTGATAGCGCGCCAGCATGTGCTTCTCTGCTGTCAGGGTCTGGTTTAATATAGGGCGTGGAACCTGGCTCCTGCTTGACCGGGGCAGCCATGCTGCTGGCGAGTGCACCAGGATCCCTTGTGAAAGGAGGTAAACTAGATCTTGAAGATGGCTCTGGCGTCGCGACTGCTGCAACACGAAGATTCCGCAGCCAGGCGATAAGGTAACGCTGCTTTGAGCTGCAAGTGAGTGAAGTGATGTTTGTGGCGACCTTGTTGCTTGCTCGAAACAAGGCCATGAACTAACCGCGTGGGGCGGCAATTACTCCGGCCAAGGTTCGGGCCTTCTGAGGGCGGTGAGACTCGGATGAACAAAGCAATCGTCGAATCGACTCTGGGCGGAGACATCTGCAGATCTTGCATTAGGTACGGAGTACTCCGTACAAGCTTAAGCCACTCTATACTCCAGAGTCCATACTGGCTCTTGAAGAGAAAATACCTGGTCCATGTCTGGGAGTCGGGGAAAACGACACGCCTCAGTCGACGTTGCTTTCCGCGTACACCATCACGTGATCTTGATTATATTACTTCTGTATTCCTAGCTTTTTCCTTTGCTTCTTGTCTATTGATGTTTTACTCGTGAGATTTAGCTTTTGTTCGCACCTCATTAGTTGCATTCGCACTTGCTTTGCACTAAGTCATTCATCCTTGCATCATTTCTGACGTTTGTACAGTAACGTTGCTCTGCATTTAGCGAATGAAAGATTGAGTTGTGCTTGAGCAAGAATTGTTTTTGTCCTTCAAAGCCTCCTTACTGTCGTCTATACAGACTGAGTTGCTTTCGGTGCAATGCAGAGACCACAAAGAGAACCATGGAACGGAAGCTTAGATTGAGACCACGTCACGTAGCAGTTGTTCCAGAAACTTTGACAGGGATATATGTCAAATCCCATTTAGGCTGATATGCAACCGGAGGATTCGATGTCATGGCACCTATCAGCCCACATATGAGAAAGGGGACAGCATTGCTCTATCAACAGTCATCGACTCCTGACATCAGCTCATTGTTCATCTCCCATTTCCAAATGCTACATCAATCAAGAGAGGGATTAACGGCAGAACGGAATAAACATATCAACTCTTCAGCGCTACTAGTAACCGTTCGTTGTTTTCAACAGGCTCCTTGAATTGCATGTGTAATAAACAGTTGAATTTCTGATGATTCTTTTTTTTTTCATACTGAGAATTAGCCCGTTGAACTTCTGCAGGTATGGTAATTTGACCAGTCGGGAGTCAAAGTAATGCAGACCTTGACGGGTCCTGCTAGGAATTCAGAAGCTACCGGTATTGGATGTTCCTTCAAGAGGTTCTTGTTGCTCGAGGAACAATACGTTCCTTCCATGTAGGTATATAGCTAAGTGTTTGTGCTGTCCCTTTTCTTTCTTGTGTGTGCATTACTCCTAGATGACTGCTGCTGCTTATCTTCACCCGCTTTCCTAGACTGTTCCTCTGAATTGTGATTCTTTTCTTCATTTTTTTTCGCCACTCAGATTACTGGTGTCACATTCCAATTTCCTCGGCAAAGAATATACAGTCACCTACGGGATGACTTTCATGGATGCATTTGTCTTGCTAGCTAAGAATTAATCGTCGGTAGTGAAAGGAAACGCGCAGGAAAACCGAGGTAACTAACTGAATCCTTTTTGCATTGACCCTTCGCCCTATACAAGAAGAGACGCGTGGATTTCGCTTTATAAAGCCTGCAGTCCAGCCTTTTCCTAGCGGTCTAGTATCGCCATTCATCTGCAGGATTCGAGACGCCATTTCTCGCGTACGAGCGTGTGTAGGAGGGAATCATTGAGAATCCTGCTCGATTATCCAATCAGCTAGGAATGCCTCTTGGGCAGGAGTCAATCGCTGGTATTGTTCATGGCTGATTTGCTTCGTAATGAGGCCGGCCTTCCGATCGCATAGTGTCGTCTTCGGGACACCATATGCTGCTGCTGCTCGTAGTGAACTGATTTTACCAGATTCATAATCAGCGAGAACCATTTGTATGGCTTTTTCACGGGAATCTATTTGTAGAGTTCATGGGTGGTTTGTTGAAGAGCAACGCGTGTCAGGCGCGGTGTCCGAGTAAGGGGATGTCCGGGTTAGGGAGCAATCCTTATCGATAAGCTGGAGCCTTGGAGGCACACCACTCCCACACTCCGCTATCCTCCTCATTCAAGCTTATCACACCCCACCGCCCACCTCCTACAATCAACGAGGGGATCAGTTTTGTTCCCCAGCTTTATGATTTTCTCTACTCTCCCATCTCATTTTCCTTCACACTGACAATGGCGTCCCAGGAAGTCACAGCTGCTCTGGCGTCCATCGAATCGTCCTCCAGTCAACAAAATAAGCCACAGCTCTACAATGAGCTTCTTTCGAAGATAGTCTCGACCTCATCCGGAGATGAGCTTGCACAAAACCTGATTTGCTACCTTGACTCGATTCTCAGTGAAAACGTCAGTATCGTCGTCGCCCGTCCCCTCCTCGATTCCTTCGTCAACGTCCTGCGCGACCTCCCTGCCGAGATCAAAATCAAAGTCGGTCAGCATGCCGTCACATTACTTCAGTCGCGTTCTGCATCAGTCGAAGAACAAGACTCCAATATTCGAGAAATTCTTGCAGATGCATATGAGTCGCAGGAGGAGTACATCGCCGCGGCACGGACGCTACAGGGTATTCATCTCGACAGCTCCCAGCGGCTTATTTCAGATGAAGCCAAGATACGGATGTGGATTCGGATAGTGAGGCTCTATCTGGAAGAGGATGATACGACAAGTGCAGAGTCTTTTCTGAACCGGATTAAGAACCTGCCTAGCAAGATTGAAGATCCGGAACTCAAGTTGCATTTCCAGCTCTCGCAGGCTCGCATCCTCGATGCCCGCCGCCGCTTCTTGGACGCCAGCCAGGAATATTTCAATGTCAGTCTTGCCGTTGGGGTCGATGAGAATGACCGACTACAAGCCCTCTCCGCCGCGATTATTTGCGCTGTGTTGGCGCCTGCCGGGCCGCAGCGGTCACGTACCCTGGCGCGCTTATACAAGGATGATCGAGCGACATCCGTGGACGAGTTTGGAATTCTGGAGAAGATGTACCTGGATCGGCTCTTGACGCCAGAAGAAGTTGCCGCCTTCTCCAAGAAGCTGGCTCCCCACCAGCTCGCGAAGACGGCGGATGGATCGACTGTGCTAGACAAGGCCGTGATCGAACATAATCTCGTCGCTGCCAGCAAGCTGTACGAGAACATCAAGACGGACTCTCTGGCTGCCATTCTGGGTCTTCAGGACAGTGGCGACTTGACCGCGGCTGAGAAGGCAGAGGCCTATGCGGCGCACATGGTGGAGCAGGGCCGACTGAAGGGTAGCATCGACCAGATTGAGGGTGTGATCTATTTTGACTCTGGGATCTCAGGGGTGGGAAGTACGGGGACAACGGGGAGGAATCTGCGACTGTGGGATGCGGGCGTGCAGGGAGTGGCCGAAGATGTGGAGAGAGTGGCAGCGAGCGTAGCTGATGCCTTTCCCGTAAGTCCTCTGTCGTCTATGTTCTTAAACACCTTCTTCATCTCCCATGATATGCTGACTAGCTCTACTTCTGCAGGAATTTGCCGCTTCGCAAATGGTGCATTGACAGGAGGGCAATCGGGGGCACAAGAAATAACAGCTACCAATGTTATGTCACGAACACTTTATGAAGTTCACTTCTTCAAAAATGGAGCATAGATAAGGGGAGTGATCTGATACCAGGGAGCACGGAAAGACCATAGTGGGCAAGGTGCTCTTACGAAGGCTTATGAATTAATTGTACTAATGAACCTACGCGAACAAAAGTATAGATGCACGACTGATACTAATAATTTATGCTGCTCAGTGGCAGTTATTTAGGCAGCTAAACAATAAAGCAACCTAACCAGACATGATGAATACGCTGGTACTCTGGTCCTCCTCAAAGACCATACTTTATTTAAACGTCCCTAGGGCTCGGAATTCAGTTACCGATGGGTGCTCTTAAAGTTATTCTTACCCACAAGCTTTAGATAGCTCTCTATACCCGAACGAATCCTATGCTAGATCTCCACTACTATATATGGATTTCATATTACTCGGTAATTCTTTACTGTGGTCTATGCCATTATGTAGGCTTTGCTATGGTATTAGCTGTGAGGTGCTCACCATAGCTCTCACCGTAGATTTTGCCATAGGCCTCGCCATAGAATTGACGATAGTGCTCATCATAATGCCCATAGCCTACCTACCTAGGTAGGTAGATTTAGAGGTCGAGCAGCTATCCATTCCGTAGAACCAAGCCTGTCAACTAGGTAGATACCTACATACTGACGCAGGAGTTATTCTTCACATTACACAGAAAGAGAACAAATCTGCTCTCAAAAAAGCAATGTTTGCTTGTATGGCACCTAGGTACATACATAGTTGTACACACATTTACATGCAAGCACCTTTGATTTCGAATTGACTTTCTGCATTTGTTTTACCTTCGTAAGGGTTGGCTGCAGCCGCTTCAGATTCAATAATTAATTTCATTCGCTTGTAGGTAAGGTGGCTTGACCAGTAACAGAATATAGAATACCAGCTAGCCAATACAAAATATCGGATTGCACACAGTTGCGTGATAACTGGACGGAGGACTATGGCCTCTGTCTGGCAGAATAGGTAGGTTCCATTCAGCTACAATTTACAGTCATATCACCAGCAGCTAGATTTCTTGTCTAACTGTGGGACGGAAAATAACATGCAGAAAAAAAATATTAAAAAAAATACATCACCGATTCTATGTACGGTGAGGAAAAAGTAAAACCACACCCTTGCGGGGACTCGAACCCCGAATCTTCGGTTTAGGAGACCGACGCCCTACCATTGGGCCACAAGAGCTGTGATTGGTTTGTTCACCTCGACTACCAAACCTATGTCACGGGATGCTTTCTTCCCGACTGATCTAAAACTATGCTAGCGGAAAAAAAATTGTCACGTGCCAGTTTCCTCATGTGATTTTCGGCTATTGAATAATGAGAACAGAACAGCATGATTACTACTTTCTACATCCCCCCTTTTTTTGATCTACTTTTCTTTGTAACATACTCCAAGACCTCTGGTATTCCTTACCATTTGACTTTTTGAATCCTACAGTGATGCGCCGTTTTGATTGGTAGGTACAGTACAGAGTCATACTCTGTACTTGTTAGAGATTCAGATTCCGACCGATCAATTGCCGATGGGAGTCGACATTTAATAGCCGACAGGATCTGGTAGCGACAGCAACTGCCTAGGTACAGATCTTTCTTTGTTGAGGCTGGTTTCCAACTGAGATACGTAGGGATATTTTGGGTGGCATTACTTCCGAGGCATATTAACTCTTTTTGTATCGACTGGATAACTCCCTACTGAGTCTCTCGTGGACAACGCTGCTACAGTGTTATCGGTGTATCTTGAGCCGAGGCTCACTGGGCATGCCAGGCGGTGGGTTACCGGGGTTGCCGGGGGGAGTGGAGCGGGCGAACGAACCATTTGCCGCGCAATTCTGATTAATCATTCGCCCGACTCTCTCGGAGCAGCTGGGTGCGAGTGAGACCAGGAGAAATTGGAGTGCATGTGCGATACTCCAGATGATGTGAAGAATAATAAATGATTGTTACGAGCGAATAGTAGGCCTGGCGTAGTGGCGCAGAGTGCTCCAAGTCACATGGGCGAGTAATGACGTCGATGGATTCGCATTAACATGTGAAAGGACTTCGAGAGATCGAGAGTGAAACGAAGCAGTCATGACTAGTAACGATTGGTCAGTCAGCTCAAAGGGCACCGTGGACAACGTTGACATGTGATGCTGCTTTTCAGCCTTTGTAAGGGAAACGCCATGATGCAGCAGACGAACAGAACGGGACCTGGCTATTACATGTTGAATAATTTTGATTTTAATTTTAATAATAATAATAATAACAAAAAAGCCCTGTCCTCTCCGGTGGCTTCGACACAATGCGGGAAAGGCCGATGCATCGGTAGATTGTCCGCTGGGGCTGCTGGGTCCGGAGAGCTAGTCCCGCGCAAAGCCGTCGAGCCTCGGCCGAGTGATGGACTGTCACGACGACGCTGGGACTGCTATTTCTTCGTCGCATCCTCGTCTCTTGCCTGCTTCCTCCTCCATCCGTTTTCCTTCTCTCTCTCCCCAGACCCCATCCTTTCCTTCTTTCCTGTATCTCGCACCATCTTCACAACCATGGCGCCTAACAGAGTGATTGTCGTTGGTGGTGGATGTGAGTGGGCCCCAGCTTTTCCCCGCAAATTCATTGTCTTGCTGACCGTCGTTTCGCAGTGTCCGGCCTGAGTGCCGCTCACACCGTCTACCTGAACGGTGGTAACGTCCTGGTTCTGGACAAGCAGAGTAAGTCATTGTCTCTTCCTCATCGCCGTCCTCTGCCACTGGACCGCTTTTCCCCTGCTGACTGCGCTGCGTCTAGACTTCTTCGGAGGCAACTCCACCAAGGCCACGTCCGGTATCAACGGCGCTCTCACGCGCACCCAGACGGATCTGGGCATCCAAGACAGCGTCAAGCAGTTCTACGAGGATACTCTCAGGTCCGCCCGAGACAAGGCCCGTCCAGACCTGATCAAGGTCCTCACCTACAAGTCTGCCTCGGCCGTCGAATGGCTGCAGGATGTCTTCAACCTGGACCTTACTCTGGTGTCCCGTCTGGGGTGAGTAGTTTTCATTCTCTCCATTGTCTCCCGAGGAGCATTCGCTGATGTTGGTGGTGATTGTGCTGCACAGAGGCCACTCCCAACCCCGTACCCACCGTGGCCATGATGCCAAATTCCCCGGCATGGCTATCACCTACGCTCTCATGCAGAGAATCGAGGAGTTGGCGGAGGCCGAACCGGAGCGGGTGCAGCTCCTCAAGAAGGCCCGTGTCACCGGCATCAACAAGAACGGCAACCAGATCACGGGTGTGACCTACGAGTACAACGGCGAAACCCACACCGCGGACGGTGTTGTCATTCTGGCAACCGGTGGATACGCCGCCGATTTCACGGAGGATTCGCTCCTGAAGAAGTGGCGCCCGGACACCTTCCACCTGTCGTCCACCAACGGCACTCACGCTACCGGTGACGGTCAGAAGATGCTGATGGCCATTGGCGCCAATGCCATCGACATGGACAAGGTCCAGGTGCACCCGACCGGTCTGGTCGACCCCAAAGACCCCAATTCCAAATGGAAGTTCCTGGCTGCCGAAGGTATGTTTGTAAAATAGCCATCGTTGCCGCCTGAATTTCTCTAACTAGCTGTGTAGCTCTGCGTGGTGAAGGTGGTATCCTCCTCAACTCGGACGGCCAGCGCTTCGCCGACGAGCTGGGTCACCGCGACTACGTCTCCGGCCAGATGTGGAAGGAGAAGGAAAAGGGCAAATGGCCCATTCGCCTGGTGCTCAACAGCAAGGCCTCCAACGTCCTGGACTTCCACACCCGCCACTACTCCGGCCGTGGCCTTATGAAGAAGATGACCGGTAGGGAGCTGGCTAAGGAGATCGGCTGTGGTGAGGCCGCGCTGAAGAAGACCTTTGACGAGTACAACGAGATCGCCGAGGGCAAGAAGAAGGACCCTTGGGGCAAGAAGTACTTCCACAACATGCCCTTCAGCATCGACGACACCTTCCACGTTGCCTTGATGGAGCCTGTGCTGCACTTCACCATGGGTGGTATCGAGATCAACGACAAGGCCCAGGTCCTGAACTCCGAGAAGAAGCCCTTCGAGGGTCTCTACGCTTGCGGTGAGCTGGCGGGTGGTGTCCACGGAGCCAACCGTCTCGGTGGTTCGTCTCTCTTGGGCTGTGTCGTCTTTGGCCGTGTGGCTGGTGACAGTGCTAGCCAGTATCTCTTCCAGAAGGTCCTCTCCGAGGGTGCATCGACGGCTCAGCAGCGTCTGGGCCAGATCTCCCTGCACATCGACCCGTCCACGCCTGGCAAGATCTCGGTGGAGTGGAACAACGCCAAGTCCGACGGGAAGGACACAGCTTCTACTCGCGTGGAGGCTCCTACGGCGGCTGCCGGCACACCTGCTGCTTCTTCCTCATCCAATGCCTCTGCCGCTCCTGCAAGCAAGGCCAACAAGGCCTCCTCGGGACCGGCGGATGTTGCAAACTTCAAGATCCCTGACAAGGAGTTCACGATGGAGGAGGTTGCCAAGCACAACAAGAAGGATGACCTGTGGATAGTCGTCAAGGGTGTGGTGTTGGATATGACCAACTGGCTCGATGAGCACCCAGGTGGCGCCCAGGCTCTGTTCAGCCACATGGGCCGTGACGCTTCTGAGGGTGAGTCCTTTTTAAGCGAAGCTTGTTCTTCTACGACTTTGGATGCTAATTGAACTCGGCAGAATTCGAGATGCTTCATGACGATGAGGTCATTCCCAAATATGCCCCCCAGATTGTGATTGGCCGTGTAAAGGGCCAGAAGCCTCGCCTGCAGTTCTAAGTTTGAGAATCTGTACGACGGGGGTCCGTAATTTGTCACGCTGAAAAGAAGGGGTCCCACAAAATGATAGAATCGGAGTAGAAAAGGCGAATAATGACTGAGCCACTGGGTCTCATGCATGTGATGATGGGACTGTGTCGTCCATATCTCTCTATTTCCTTATGTGCTGTGTCTTTTTTTTTCTCCTTTGATTTGATGATGGATACTCTTTCTGCTGTTTGCCCAACCGGGGCTACTATTATACCACATGTAAATCCTGGAGGGCTTGTATACGTAGGAATCATTTTGGAGTCTGAAAACATTTCCGAGAATACAGTGTAGTAAACCGATATAATATAGGTGAGAGGCCCGCCCGGAGGAGAAACGTAAGGCTCCAGCCAGATGTCTGTGGCATAGGTAGACATCTTTTCAGTGAAACAGAGTAAGGCGTTTTAAAGCTTTTAGATTATAACATGAAGAGTTATACCACCGTACTGCAGTACTATACATGTACATGAGAAGGAACTGATGGTATGATATAGTACAGATTTGATTGATCGATAGATGATCCCCCTCCCTCCTTTCTTGATTATCGCTGCATATGTCTCAGGATCATTTTGAGTCTTCGGACAGCCGGTCCGTCCTTTTCTTCCTTCCCCGGACTCTTTTTCTTCTCTTCCAGTTCCTTGGACGCCGCCTCCAGCGTGGGTCGTAGATATCCCCACACTTCTTCGTGGTACCGGTCCTCGACGCCGATCCAGTCCTCTGCCCCCGGAAGATTGGACAGGACTGTGTCGCGGAGTGTGGCGGTATCCACGGCTGCGTGGCTGTTGTTGTTGGCGTCCTGCTGCGCAAGAAAGCTGTCGATGTCCGGGATCAAACTCCGCGATGTGATGGGTCGATGATGATGTGGTTCTTCCGTTCCCTGCGAAGACGATGGATGTCGACGGAACGAGTCAATTATTTGGATCTCTTCCGCCGTCAGAGGTGGGACGGTGTCGATGACGCTGTAGTCCGTCGGATCATCTTCTGTGGGTAGAAATTCAGGCTGGAAAGCCGGGTCTGATAGGAGCGATACAACCGCTGCTCCGTCCTCTGAGTTCTGCAAAGAAGTGTGAGGAGGGGCAGTATATGAAGTAGTAGATTGACCGGCAACAGTGGTCTGGTTGAATGCTGCCTCCCACGCGTCATGAAATTCGGATCGCGGGACATCTGGACTTTCTTCGATCTCTCTCCCCTTGCCTTTGCCTTTCCCCTGAGGCTGTGAGAGGACAGAGTTCCCAAACAATAATTCGTCGCCATATTCGTTCTGGAATTGATCCTGTCCCATCGCGTCCAGCGCAACGCCACCGTGGACCGGCATCGGTGACCGGAACGACTCCGGCGCAGAGCCTCCTACTCCGCCTGCTTCAGCGCCAGAAGCAAAGCCCGCTGCTGTATGACTTGATCTAGAGAAACTCTCCATCGCCGCGGAGGCAGCAGAACTCCCACTGAGCTGCTGTCGAGACGATCCTGCCTTGCTGCTATTTCCCAGGGTCTGGGAGAGATCTGCTCCCACGGCCTGCCCACTTGGTCTTGTGACAGCATCACGAACGAGAGTCGATGCTGAATTCTGGATTCTGCTAGCCAGCGAACTGGACTTGTTGTTTGAGCCATCTTTGGATGCTGATTGGCCTTTGGACCCTGGTGATAGGGGCTCTGGTTGCCCATCGTTTTGCTTTTCTGACATTTTTTATGAGAAAAAGAAAGCGATTAAAGGGGAAAAAATAAAATGAGAGAATCTAAGAGACAGGGAACAAGCAATTGTTCAATGGCGATGCTGATAGAGATTGCGTTTCACGCGCTTGGTGGAATATAGAATTGCCCCTCGGACCAAGGGAGATGGCAAGAGAAGCATGTGAATGAATTTCAGGGAACTGTAAATACGAGAAAATCAAAACAAAATAAAAAATAAATCTAGTTGCAATGTTGATGGCGCATAAAATACTTCTCCTAGTCCCAAAGGAAATAATATGTAATGGTAGCCTCTTGATTCTGCTCCCGTGATGATATATATTTACCGGAGTCATGTAATCCACTCCGGATTCTAGTATAAAAAACCTTAAGAGCATTCTTGCAGTTGCCAGATGACTCAGCAACGGAAACAGTGATTGTTACAGGCATACAACACCAGCTAAACCGATGAAATCTGTCCACCTCTATTGGCGAGAAATACAAGTTGGCAGAGGGGTTAGGCATTGGCGATGGATGCACATTACATTAGAGAGCGATGGAGACGAGACACATATTTGTAAAGGATGTTATGAGAAGGAATACGAACAGGTCTGCCTGAGAAGTAGATACTAAGAATTATACGAGAAAAACCACAGCCTGGTTGATAGGTAATTTTGTCACTTAAATACTGGTGATACTGGAGGGGTAAGCCGTCAGTGCAGGTCTCGCTTGGCTCGACCAGCAGAAGAAACCAAGTCTATGCAGGCTTCCAGATTGTATGTAGTTTCATTATCTGCCCTGGAGCAGGCTTCTCCCCATGTTCCATGCTGTGCTCTCGAGATTGTGTCACTGTGCTAGCCACTTGCAGCGGTATCCGCACGCGTCAAGAATTGCGCTGCGCCTTGGTGACCGCCCGACCGCCCCCGACAAAGGCCAAGAGAGGCGCTCCCCACCACCCCAACTCACCTCACTCAACGACCAGACCAGCCAGACGGTCCTGATCTCACGACATCGCTTCAGCGCTGCTGGCTGCCTCTGCATCGCCGCTTCAGCCTTACCGCTTTTCCGCTCACTCGGTGCCTGCTCTTGTGTTTCTCTCCTCACCACTTTCGGGCATCCTCTCCCCCTCCCTCCAGCCTCGATCCGTCGTTGCAGCAGCCGACTCTCATCACCCAGGCTGTCGATCATTTGTCCCTCCAGCCTGCTGTACTTACTTAGGTTAGTAACCGAGTCGGCCGGCCTTGCCTTCTCTGACGTCGCAGCGGTCCCTCCAACCATCGGGTGTTCGTGCGTCTCTTGCTCCAGACCTTCTCTTCGACGACACAGCAGCTCTCGCCATTTGAGAGCCAGCTAATTCTGTTACCAGGTCGATTAATCCTCCTCTCCTCGTAGACAGGTCCATTCCATCTCACCTCATCTTCCGTTCCCATCATCGCCCTTTATCCTCTCTTACGTCGTAACCGCTTTCTGTCGAGGGGTCATCGGTTGATAGCGTTCCTACCGGCCACACACCTCACGCGACTTCCAAACGGACACGCCGCCCCGGACATCGCTGCTCGAGGTCGGGATCTTCTGCTGCGCGGGAGTTTTAGGTCGTGTGTGCTTGCCACCGGATCAGGGTGGTATAGTGAAAGATGGTAGACGGAGAGACAGGGCCTACCTGGAAGTTCACACAGTGAGTCTTCCCTGTCCTGTTAGTCTGTTTGGTGGGAGGAAGAGATACTCCTGGGCTTGTCCACGAGCCTTGGAGATCTCCTGGTCCCTGGGAACTCTGCTGTCCAGGATCGATAGGGCTGTTATCCGTGGGAGGATCGGCTGCTAACCCGTTCTGATAGATGCTTTGGTGACAAGGGAGATGTAGAGGATATTACAGAAGGTATTTCTTCCCATGCCATTGCTAAGGTCATCTCAAAAGACTATTATCGGTTTCGATGATGATGTGGAAACGAGAAATTGCTTGCATCCGAAACTAACGTTTGCTGTTCTCCAGCGGACATTATTTCGACCGTCGAGTTCGACCACACGGGAAATTACCTGGCTACGGGAGATAAGGGTGGGAGAGTGGTATTATTCGAGAGGAACGAGACGGTAGTCATCATACACCCCTCTTTGTGCTACCAGCTGTCCGGTTGAGATGGCCGCTGACTCTTCTTCCCCGCAGAAAAAAACCTGCGAGTATAAATTCCACACCGAGTTCCAATCGCACGAGCCCGAATTTGACTACCTCAAGTCCTTAGAGATCGAAGAGAAGATCAACAAGATAAAATGGTGCAGGCGACAAAATGCTTCACACTTCCTCCTCTCCACTAATGACAAGACGATAAAGCTGTGGAAAGTGTTTGATAAATCGCTGAAGGTGGTCGCGGAAAATAACCTATCTCATGAGCTCACGCCGGCAGGTGTGATAGGTGGCGGAGCACCACGGCCGCCGCACATCAGGTTCAAAGATGCCTCTGCCCTGAAACTGCCGAGGATGACACACCACGACACCGTCGTTGCCGCAGTTCCTCGGAGGACCTATGCCAATGCCCATGCCTATCATATTAACAGTATCTCCGTCAATAGCGACGGGGAGACTTTCATCAGTAGCGATGACCTGAGGATCAATTTGTGGAATCTGAATATTCAAGACCAGAGCTTCAACATTGTTGACATCAAACCAGCGAACATGGAGGAGTTGACAGAGGTCATCACCGCATCAGAGTTCCATCCTATCAGCTGTAACTGGTTCATGTACGCTAGTTCGAAGGGGACCATCAAGCTGGCCGATATGCGACAGCGGGCCCTGTGTGATGAACACCAGAAACGTACGTATTCATTTCCGTCGCGGGCACATCTCTCTTTGTCTGCTGGCACGTGAGGCTTACAATTGCACCAGTGTTTGAACAAGAAGAAGATGCCTCGTCCCGTTCCTTCTTTTCCGAAATCATCTCCTCCATCTCCGACGTCCGTTTCTCTCATGACGGCCGCTATATTCTCTCGCGTGACTATTTGACCGTGAAGATCTGGGATATCAATATGGAAAAGCAACCGATCAAGACGATCCCGATCCACGAACATCTCCGACCTCGACTCTGCGACACTTACGAAAACGACAGTATATTTGACAAATTTGAGGTGGTGTTCTCGGGCGATGCCGAGAATGTCATGACGGGTAGCTATAACAACAACTTCATGATCTATCCCACGGACCCGAACAAGGAAACCGAGATAGTATTACAGGCAGATAAGTCCGCGTTCAAGGCCAAGAAGGTTGGCGTCCCAACGCCCATGAACAAGAGCGGGAAGAGGAACGGATCGAGAGCCAACAGCCCGGCTGCGGGCTCACGCATGAGGAAGGAGACGGACGCCGACCAGATCGATTTCAACAAGAAGATCTTGCATATGAGCTGGCATCCATTCGAGGACAGTATTGCCATCGCGGCTACAAACAACGTGAGAACCCTCCCCCACCCTAGCATTCTTCCTGTTATTGCTGTACTAACTGGTTCCCCCTTTCTCGCTGTATAGCTCTTTGTCTTCTCAGCATTGTAATGTGCAGGATATCTGGTTATGTTTCGGGGTTTCTGTTGGCGAGAATGACGAGGACGATGGCCGAACTCGTGAGTCGACTACCTGTATGGAAACCAACTGTCACGGAAAACGAGCCAAGTGATGCAGAAAAAAAAGGATAGAAATTACAGCCACAAATTCAATATCCGAGTTGCTGGTTGAGATCGCTCTGATTTACATGCGAAATTGTTAGGTGATGCATTTTCTTCCCCAGTCTCATGTTTGCATGTGGTGCCCCCTTCTTGCTCGCAGGCACCATGTGCGTTTGGGTATATGTTCCCGACTTCTCTTTAGGGGACCGACAGGGGGTCTGGTGGACGCTGCGCTTCCGTCATTCCCTCTCTCATCTTGCTCCTTCTCACCAACGCTTCATTCCGGAAATCTTTCTGCTCCGGAGCTAATCTTACCAATCCTGATCCGATATCTATCCGCGTGTTCTTTTTCCCAAGCATGGGGGTTTCAAGGCTTCTGTCACGAACTAGATATCTCTGATGATTCAACCAGGTCATGCCTACTATGAAGGAGGGTGGATAATCCATATCTTGAACGAGTTGAAGCCGTGTTTGTCACCATGGGCCCGTATGCCCATCTTCTTGACCAGCAGGTATATGTGGATACTTACTAAATCAGACTACTATCTCCTATTAGAAAAAGAATTACAGAATGGCAGACGAATGTCTTTTATGTATTTTTTTTAAGGTAATTTTTTTTAAGGTAATTAAGTAGCTATCTGTAAACTTGCCTAAGCTTTTGTACCGTATCATGGTCCACAGAGAATATGGAGAGGAATATAGGTGGGGAATCCACTTGGAGAGACGATAAGAAACAAGCATATAATTTTGTCAGCAGGCCCGGGGGCCAAAAAGTCTGTGTGGCGTAGACCAGGTATTTCTTTTTCACTCTTCAAACCAGTCGGGCAAAACGAGACGTGTAAGGCTTGTTACTCCTAGAGTTCCCGTTCCGATGCTTTCTGCAGATGATCCGGACTGATTCTCGACGTCATACTCCGGGTGCCAGAACGCTAATGCCCTCGGGGCGCTCCAGTTCCATGTAAGAGCGATTTCTACCTAATTTTACAACAGGCAGTATCCAGCCAATCAGCGCATGCTTTCATAGTTGTCGGAATAACATGCCTCCGACCCCGTGAGGCCCGTGACGCTAATGTTCAGAACCGGTTAGCGAATACTGCCTCTCTCCACCGCTCCGGTGTCGCGCAAAGTAAAGCCTCCCGTTGAACCGCTGTTTGCTTCGGCAACCATCATCCTCTTGTTCTTGGCTGCACCGTTCCTCTCGTCGCGAGATTCAAGAGATCCTGATTCGAGATCTCTGTCTCTTCATCTTGGGTCTTTGTGGAAATCGCAGCGATGGTTGTTTCAGATTCCTTGTAGTCCTCTCTCTTTCCACAGCCAAGAAGCAAGCAAACTCGAGAGGCTATAGCTGGCGTCTGTGTTCTGTTTCCAGTCAGACAGGAAACCTTCCTTTTTTCCCACCCTTGGCAGATCGTCTTAGCCATATACGCGTTTGCTGCTAGGTCCTTTTTTCATGCGTTGATAATGAATCCCTCTGGGAATGACAGCTGGCACTCCTCTGCAGGAGGCCCGCCATCGCACCCCGGCATGGAGCAGCCTCGCCCTCTGGGATCGTTCGGGTAAGTATTTATTCTCTTCGCGGAGTCCGGTTTTTCCGTTGAGTTCGGTCATCCTTTTCCATCAAGAGGATTTGATCTGACGCTTTCCATTTTTTACCGACAGACAAAACCCTGGTCAGCAAGGCCCCTCGTCGCAACCGACAGGACCAGTCCTACCACCTCCAACTGGTAAGCATCTACCATTTCGCGCTCAGTGTGTTCGCATAGCCGGGTTGCGTTCTCTGACCTGACGGTTATCCTCCGATACAGGATTTCACCCTGTAAGCCAAGCTTCAGGACACTCGTTGCCCGGTCTGGCAGATTTGACTCAAGGACCCGGTGGACCACACCAGCCGCCTCCATACGGACAACATCCTCAACCTTCGCATGGCGCCGGCCATTCGCTTCCGGGCATCAGTCAAGCGATGCAGCATCCTTCTCCTCAGTTGAACCGCGACCGCGAACGAGACTCGAGGGAGCGCGAAATGCTGGAGAGACAACGGCATGAGGAGATGGCGCACCGGGAACGCGAACAGCGCGAGCGCGAACAACGGGAGCAAATGGAACGTCAGCAGCGAGAACAGCAGCATCATCCGGTTCAGAGTCATACCGGCTCGATTCCCATTCATCAGCCCGTCGCCTCGAAGGTTCCCAACTCCATTCACGGGCCCAACGGACTACTCAACAACATCGGAGCGAGCGCGCCGCCGAACGCGCCGCAGAATACCATGCCCTCTGCTGGAGGCCCTGGGGGTCTGTACGGAGCTCAGATGCAGCATGGTGAGAATACACCCCGGCCCTATATGCAGCATACCCAAGGGCCTCCTTCCCAGCCGATGATGGGATACAATAGCTCTGCGCCCCAGCAAATCCCGGGTAACGTGGCGGCTCTAGCTCAGGGACAGCAGCCAATCTTGAATGTAAGTCCTTGCCATTTTTTTTCTTGTTTATGGTCGTCAGTTTTGGCATTTGGACAACTGTAGGAAAATGTGTTCGTGGGGACACGTGACAAGCCCAGTGCGGACGTGTTTTGTGAAGGAGCCTCTCCCCTCTGTTTGAGTCACGTCCTTGTTCGCATCATCACTTGTTTCCGACTTGTTATACCCAGCAGGATTGCCCAAATCTCACAAGCAGATCGCTGGGAGTCCTAATTCAGTTGCTATCAAAATGCCTGTTACTTGCTGGCGTGATGCCTATCGAGATGCGTATGCTATACCGGATGAGAAGCTAATGCAGCGATTTGTTTTCCAGGATGCGCTCAGTTACCTTGACCAGGTCAAGGTGCGGTTTGTCGACCAGCCCGATGTCTACAACCGCTTCCTTGATATAATGAAGGACTTTAAGAGCCAGGCGTACGTCCATACTGCTGAGCACTCTTTTGAGATTGGATTTGCTGACAAGTACCAGGATCGACACTCCCGGAGTGATTCAGCGTGTTTCTACTCTCTTTAATGGTCACCCTGCGCTTATCCAGGGCTTCAACACGTTCCTGCCACCGGGATACCGGATCGAGTGCGGAACCGAAGATAATCCTGATGCAATTCGTGTTACGACGCCCTCTGGCACGAATACGCTCTCGATGTCACGGGGACGCCCTTCGATGGAATCCTCTGGCGAAGCGGGCCCGTCCAGTGGACTCGCGCCACCGGGACGCCCCGATTACTATGATCAGTCTCGAGGTGGCTGGCAACAAGCACAGCACCAGCAACAGGGTGGTATTACTGGGTCCTATTCGCCTAGCAACCGTGTGATGGGTGCAGGCATGTATGGGCAGCAAGCTGGCCAAAGTCAACCCCAGGACCATCACTATGACTATCAGAACCAGCAAGAGCAGCATGCTCCCTCGAACGCCGCTGGCCTTGCTCATCAGCAGGAACAGCGGGGAGTTTCGCAACTGCAGAACGCCGCCTCAGCTGCATCAGGGCGGCCTTCGATGTTGCAAGCATCTTCGGGAGCTGCCCCCGCGCCTGGCCAGCCCATGAGTAACCTAGCGGGAGTGGGCTCGGGTGTCTTGCAGGGCTCGCAGCCAGATGTGAGCAAGCGCGGCCCAGTGGAGTTCAACCACGCAATCAGCTATGTCAATAAGATCAAGGTGAGTAATAGCTGATATATCATGTGACATCGTCGACAATGCGTTCTTATTCGGAGGAACTAATTCGGGTGATTCTCGCAGAACCGTTTCGCAAATGCTCCGGAAATCTATAAACAGTTCCTCGAAATCTTGCAGACCTATCAGCGCGAGTCCAAGCCTATCCAGGATGTGTATGCTCAAGTCACTCAGCTCTTTAACACTGCTCCAGACCTCTTGGAGGACTTCAAGCAGTTCTTACCAGAGTCCGCCGCTCAAGCCAAGCAGCAAGGACAGCCTGGCCGGCCCTCAGTTGATGAGGCTGCTCCTGTGAGCAACGTTCGTGGGGAGCCTTCTTATGCCTCGGCTGCTGCTCAGTCTCAGACACCTAATCGTGATGTCAAAATGCCCCCTCTTGGTCAATTCAATGTCAAGGATTCTGGTAAGGAAAGCAAAAAGCGACGAGGAGGACCAGGCACCACAAACGTGGTGGGTGCTCCAGTTTCGGGGCCTTCGACCACTGTTGAGACAGCTAGAACGACTGATATGCAGTCCAATCGTGCGCCGAGCGTCCAAGCTGGGGGTGTGAACAAGGTGAGTAAAAGCAGTCTTTGTTTTACCAATCTTCCAAGGTCCTTCGCAATCATTGTTGTTGGGATGGCGCGGCCTTTTTATAGAGATTTGATGGGTATTGGATACAAAGAACACATCTCCTTGCGCATCAACCTTGAATGTTTGTTTCAGGAGTTCTGAAACCAAATGCTAACTCTTGTGATACTCAAAGAGGGCCAAGGTTCATCATACAAAGCCGACACAGGGAGACACTCAGCCGATTTCGCCTACCCTTGTCCCTGCATTGCCTGAACCAATTCCTCCGACCTTCTCTCTCACACCCAATCAGGAAGAGTTTGCTTTCTTTGACCGTGTGAAGAAATTCATCGGTAATAAGCAAACATTCAACGAGTTCCTTAAGCTTTGCAATCTTTACTCGACTGATCTCATCGACCGGAATGTACTTGTGAAGCGAGCTGCTGGGTTCATCGGTTCAAACCCCGAGCTCATGTCTTGGTTCAAGCGTTTCATGCATATTGAGGAACCAGAGGACAAGGTCATCGACCTGAAGCCAAAGCAGGAGTCTGGCGTGGTGAATCTTTCTCACTGCCGCTCTCTTGGTCCAAGCTATCGCCTGCTGCCAAAGCGTGAGCGGCAGAAGCCTTGCAGTGGTCGCGATCAGTTGTGCTACAGCGTGCTTAATGACGAATGGGCATCCCATCCGACTTGGGAGTCTGAGGATTCTGGCTTTGTTGCGCATCGCAAAAACCAGTATGAAGATGCTCTCCATCGGATTGAGGAGGACCGACATGATTATGACCATCATATCGAGGCCTGTACCCGGACCATCCAGCTCATTGAACCGATTGTCCAGCAGTTTACTGTCATGTCAGAGGCTGAACGGGCTAATTTCAAGCTTCCTCCTGGACTTGGTGGTCAGAGCGAATCCATCTACAAGCGCGTGATCAAGAAGGTGTACGACCGTACTCGGGGCGAGAAGATCATCCATGATATGTTTGAGCGGCCATGTCATGTTTTGCCTATCATCTTGTTCCGCTTGAAGCAAAAGTGTGAGGAATGGAAGGCCAGCCAGGTAAGTTTCTGCCTTGTTCTCCTCTGGAGAAAGGCACGCCGTTTTCTAACTTGAATTTTTCTTTAGCGCGAATGGGATAAGGTCTGGCGTGAGCAGATGCAGAAGGCTTTCTGGCGCAGCCTGGACCATCAGGCGATCACGAACAAGGGCGCCGATAAGAAGTTGTTTGCAGCCAAGCACATCCAGAGTGAGATTCAGGCCAAGTTCGAGGAAAGCAGGAATATCCGCAAGAGCGGTTACCAGGTCCCTAAGCATCAGTTCGAGTTTGAATTCACGGACCCAGGCGTCATCGTTGACGCGACTCATCTGCTGCTGACCTATATTGACCGCAATTCGGCCGGGTTTGGTACCGATCCTCAGAGGGTGATGGCATTCATCAAAGACTTTGTCCCGATCTTCTTCGGCATGGACCGCGACACCTTCCACATGTACATGAATGAAGCCTCCAGTCCAACCGATGAAGTCGACGATGAGAGTGTGGCCGAAGATGCTTCCACTACGCGCAGCCGCCGGCCTCTGACGAACAAGAAGCTGGATCTGCTTCGTGATGTGCTTGAGCGTCGGGGGGAGAAGAGTACTCGTGGCGACAAGGAAGGCAGTGCTGCTCCAGCCAGTCGTGACGCTACTCCCGATGCGGTCCTTGTGCCATCAACTCCTATCCCGGACCCTACCGAACCATTCGATGTCGCTGAGCTCAAATGGATGGAACATCCGGGACAGGGCAACTTCAATATGCAGCAAGAGTACACACTCAACCAGGCCTATGAGAAGAAGGTGCACCATCTGTATTGCAACCTCACTATCTACTGCTTCTTCCGCACCTTCGAGATTCTATACAGCCGCCTCCTCAAAATCAAATTACATGAAGACGCTGCTCGTGAGGACGTTCGTCGTGCTCTCCTTCCAAAGGCGGCTCACGATCTTGGCCTGATCGACAAACTGCCAACCGACTTCTTCTACGACTGCGACCCCAAGGCCAACCTCTACCAGCAGATCGTCCGCATGTGCGAGGAGGTTGTCAAAGGGGATCTGGAGATGTCTCATCTCGAAGAGACGTTGCGTCGCTATTACCTGAAGAGCGGATACCAACTTTATAACCTGGACAGGATGCTCGGCGGTATCGCGCGATTCGCTGGCGGCGTCTTCAACAGTGATCCGAAGGACCGCAGTGCAGACATTATCAATCTCTTCTTCAAGGAGCGCGACCGAGAGGAGACCACGCACAACCAGGAAATCCAGTACCGCAAGCAGGTTGAGAGACTCGTCAAGGAGGGCGATATCTACCGTATTACTTACGTAAGTTTCTTTTGGGCGACTCTCTCTTGGACAGTTCAACCCTGACTGACTGATTCACAGAACCCTAGCACGCAGAAGGTGTTTGTCCAACTGATGACTGCCGAAGACAGCACCCTCGAGAATGAGGAGTTGAGCCAGGAGGCGCGCTGGTCGTATTACGTTTCCGCCTACACCATGCGCGACCCGACGGAGGGAGTGCCCTTCTCGCGGATGCGGATGCCTTTCCTCAAACGGAACCTGCCGCCGAAGATGGAACGGGATGAGGAGTACGAGCGGTACTACCGCCGTCTGGTCAGCCACGATGGCCTGGTCATCCGTATCTGCGCGAACAGCTACCACATCCTGTACGAGCCCGGTAGTTACGATTGGTGGTGGCGCCCGGCGGCCGCGAACAAGGAGGAAGCGGAGGAGAAGGCCAAGGAGGAGGCCGCGGTCAAGGAGCGCCGTCACGACCGGTTCCGGGAGAAGTTCGTCAACAACCCCGTCTGGGCTCATGGGCTCAGCAAGGATGAGGTGGACGAGTGCAACCATCGGTTCCGATCGTGGGTCAAGGGCTCTGAGCCGGAAAGCACCAAGGCTGCGGAGAGCTCCACAGAAGCGCCGGCCAAGGACAAGGACGATGCGGTGATGGTGGATGCTGAGCCTGCACCCCAGGCCCAGGAGTAAGGACCTCCCGCATCGAGCGGTGAACCGGACGCATCTGTCGTTTTTCTTGTACGATACTTCTGCACATTACTCCGTATTAAACTCCTCATCTTGTGCTCCACAATTCCCTGCCCGGTTCCATGCACCACGCGCCTCCCGCGCGGGTGCTGATGCTGTCGCAGGCCGAGGAGAATGGCGCATGGGTTGTTATTTTGTAGGGTGGAATTGCTGGGCGTTTATTATCTGGTTTCTTTTTCTTCTTTTTTATGTCTTCAGGTTTTGCGGCGTCTGTGCTGGCTAGCCAGGGTTGTCCTCCAGTTGTATGTACTCTACAAGCCCCTTCGGCCTTGTAGCAGTCTTGGCTCCTGGGCTCTCCGCATGGATCGAACGGGATAGGTGGGAGAGATGAATGGGCTGGGAACAAACTGTATTTCTAGGCATTCTGTTCTGTTCTGTATGTTTGCGATGTTGTTCTGCACCCGCTGTATGTATGATAGGAATGGTAGAATCCATCGATGGGATATAGCTACTGTAATTACGGGTTCTTTGTAGCGCCTCTACAGATCAGTGCCCCTCGTAGTGCCATCGTGACTCTAGTATGTACTACTGCAGTCTACCATCGCTGTGATGTTGCATGTTGCCACTGTCGGAGCAAGTTGCCCTGCCGTCGGCACACTGCATGCTGACTAAGCAGCAGCTCCGTGTGCCCGAGCCCTGATAGCCGGCAGGTAGCCGAGCTTCCCTTCTCGCGGGTTGCCGAAGCCGATCGACCATCGCGGGCCAGAAGCTTCTGTTCCGGACAGCAGGGCATCGCGCACAGAAAGGACGCAATGCCAGCGCCAGCACTGGGCACCGCAGAAATTGACGCAGTTCTGTGGCATGCCGCTCAGACACGCTCTCGCGACTCTCATTAATCCGTTAATAATCGAATTTTTGGGACTTGCTGCACGATGCAATCCTTCCGCCCCTGACGCGGTTTGTCTGTTTGCAGGTGGGCCGAGACTGCGCCGTATTCGGTATCGGGCGATCGGTTACGTCAGAGTGAGGGCCGTCCATCATGGCAACGAACTGGCCATGGCGCAGACGATCAGACAGAGGGCGCATTCTAGGAATTGGGACAGCAGTTCGCAATGAATGTCTTTTTCGTAGGAATCACCGTGAATAATAGTTGCGCATTGCGCGGAAGAATGGAAGCAGCTAGTGCATTCCCCCCAAGCGTAGAGCCCCAGCTGGCCCAGCTTCATCTCGCCATCAGTGCCACTCTGGGATCTGGAGCTGCCACTGGACATCTTGATCTGTTGATCATTGGCGGAGCCAGGTCGCGCGTCGCCTGCTGAGCCTCTGACAGGGACCGATCTTTCCTACACGAGTAGCAGTCTTGCAATGGCTTTCCTCTCTTTTTCTTCCGGTCCCGCCGTCCCGCCGTTGCCCGTTACTTTTTCTTTTTGCCTCCCTCCTCCGGATTCCTCTCCACCTTTCCCCCTCTTCTGTCTTTGTGCCCGTGGGGCTAGGATGAATTTTTAATTCTCCTTTCTCCAGATTTCCTTCCTCCTGTCCTGTTCCTTTCGTCTCCTCTTCCTCCGTGTCACCCGTCATGGCTGCCTCCACGTTGTTGCGAAGCCGCGTCCGGCGGCCGTCGTTTCTGAGCAAGCTGGCCAAGCCGGAAGACCTCATTGACTTGTTCCCTCATGGCACCTATATCGGCTGGTCTGGCTTCACGGGTGTGGGATATCCAAAGTGAGATTTCCTCCATGAACTCGCTACGAGAGAGGCTAGAGTGCTAATGGTGATCCGGCTGATAGGAAAGTCCCGACTGCGCTGGCGGACCATGTCGAGAAGAACAACTTACAAGGGAAGCTCAAATACACCCTCTTCGTGGGCGCCTCGTCGGGCGCAGAGACGGAAAATCGCTGGGCGAAGCTCAACATGATTGAGCGGCGGAGTCCGCACCAGGTGGGCAAGGAGATTGCGAAGGGCATCAACATCGGGAACATCAAGTTCTTCGACAAGCACCTGAGCATGTTCCCGTCCGATCTTGTCTACGTAAGTCTTTGTGCCCCTGGAAGTGCTTGCGGCGGCCTGTCTGACTTCATGTTCAGGGTTGGTATACCAAGGACAAGCCGAACAACAAGCTGGATGTGGCAGTGGTCGAGGCCACCGCAATCACTGAGGAAGGAGGCATCATTCCCGGAGCGTCCGTCGGAGCGTCTCCTGAGCTCATCCAGATGGCCGACAAGGTCATCATCGAAGTCAACACCGCCACACCCTCGTTCGAAGGTCTGCACGATATCGTTCTTTCTGATCTGCCTCCCCGGAGGAAGCCGTACCTCGTGATGGCTCCCGAGGACCGGATCGGGACTCCGTACATCCCCGTGGATCCCGAGAAGGTTGTCGCCATTGTCGAGGCGGACTACCCTGACATGACTCAGCCCAACTCGCCGGAAGACGACACTTCGCGTGCCATCGCCCGAAACCTCATCGAATTCCTTCAGCATGAGGTGAAGATGGGCCGGTTACCGGAGAACCTGCTGCCGCTCCAGTCTGGAATCGGCAACATCGCCAACGCCGTCATCGGTGGGCTTAGCCAGTACGCCAACTTCCGCAACCTGAAGGTCTGGACTGAAGTCCTTCAGGATTCGTTCCTTGACCTGTTCGACAGCGGCAACTTGGATTTCGCGACGGCGACCTCCATTCGGTTCTCGCCCGATGGATTCAAGCGGTTCTACGACAACTGGGACCGCTACGCGCCCAAGCTGCTCCTCCGTTCGCAGCAGGTTTCTAACTCGCCGGAGATCATCCGCCGACTGGGTGTGATCGGCATGAACACGCCAGTGGAGGTCGACATCTACGCGCACGCTAACAGCACCTGTGTCATGGGCTCGCGCATGCTCAACGGTCTGGGTGGCTCGGCCGATTTCTTGCGCAACTCCAAGTACAGTATCATGCACACACCTAGCACGAGACCGAGCAAGACGGACCCGACTGGTGTCAGCTGCATTGTCCCATTCTGCACGCACATCGACCAGACGGAGCACGATCTGGACGTCGTCGTTACCGAGCAGGTAAGTTGAGAATATATTTACATCTCTAGCTTAGAAGCCATTTACTAACGTCTGCCCAGGGTCTCGCCGACGTCCGGGGCCTGTCACCACGCGAGCGCGCCCGGGTCATCATCAACAAGTGCGCTCACCCAGACTACAAGCCGATCCTGCAGGACTACTTTGACCGTGCCGAGTACGAGTGCCTCAAGAAGGGCATGGGCCACGAACCGCACCTGCTCTTCCAGGCGTTCAAGATGCACAAGAACCTGGCCGAGAATGGCACGATGAAGATCGACTCGTGGGATTGAACAACAACAACAACCACCACCAAATTCTTCTCTTCAATTTGAAAACAACTCAAGACAACCGGGACTTTTCTTTTCTTTTTTTTTTCTTTCAATGCATCGTTGGGTAAAATAGAGAGTGAGCGAGAGATTTTTGACTGGCCATTTCCTTTTTTTTTCCTTTGTGAGAAAATATCTGTCATCTATTATCAATCATGTCATTTGTCCGCGGCATGTCTATACAATAAATTTAGATAGTTAGGTTAGGTGAGTAAAGAGAAGAAGATACAATACAATGTACAGTAATATATGACTGCTATCTGCTTTCCAGATGATCTCAATAATGTATGGGTTTGAGTAGTTGACGATTGAAAAGAAAACTTGTGACGTAGGAAGGAAAAAATTGCTCCAATTATTATTGTTGCTTACATTGACATCCCCACAATTGTGCTGAAATGCAAAAAAGGAAGGCTTTGATTGGCTACAGCCTTCGTGGCCGGATATGGGCCGTTTTGCTGGTCACGTGGTATAAACACTAACCATAAACGGTTAGTTTAATCTACATATCGAACACGTGACTAGGGCTTAGGGATTAGGTTAAGGGCTCGTCGTTCTAGCCTCAAGTCGTCTGGGGTAGCCCATCGGCCAGTCCTGATGCTGACGAAGCGGTTGACCACCTGGTACTCGCCAGGCATTTCGAAGAACTCACGATCCGCTTCTGTTAAAAGGAACGCTGCACCAGGCCTTTCTTTGTATGTAATATGCGAGAACAAACCTCAATTCCGAGAATCTGACATGATATGGATCGCCAAGCGTCGACGCTTTCTGGCTCACGGAAGAGCTCCCGAATACCTCGAAATCTGGAGCGGATCTCTTTAAAAATACCGAAGAAGAAGATTAATATCAAAGCAACAAACAAGAGAATGAAAGTTATGACCGCCAGTAGTCCATTATCCATGTCGCGTGTCCACAGAACTGCTGGAGGGGCCAACAATGACCCCGTCACGGCAGAAGTGAGCAATATAAATTTACCGAACTTCTTCCAGAGCCATTGGATGACGATCCCTGTGGGCATGCTTTTGACCGGGAAGCCTTGTTTTCCCTGCTCTGTCTCTTCGCTGATCTGCTTCCAGCATCGATGTCGAAAACCCTTTACAGCTCTGCTGCGGATCACGAGACGAAGACTGTAAGCCACCACGATCAGAGTGACTGAGAGGACAAAAAAGACCGAGATCGGGACCCCTTGGTGTAGTTCATTCACCTGCATGCTCAAGAGGCTTGCTGGCAGAGTGAGCGGGAGAAAGAAGAACGCAAATTCAGTCAGCTTGGTAACGCTTTCGGCTTCTGAGATCCCTCGTCTGCTATCCTGAATGGCCATGCCGGTTGCGAGAGACTTGGAAATGATTTTCAGGCGTTTTAAGGTGATTGCGGTCTCTTCGTTGACGCGCACTGAAAGTTGCCTCGCAGTGCGGCGATATGGTTCATTTGTCCCCGGCCGGATGGCCGTCTCTAAAGTCGTGAGCGACTTCTGGACCTCTGGCAGATTCCTTTCGCATCTTTTGACCAAGCTGGTCCAATAGTCCGCATGTGTCTCGACTTTGTTGTCCTCGACAAGGCCATCTTGGATGTCGTTCAGCGTCTCATTGATGACTCTTAACAAATCCAAGTGATCACAGTGAATAATATAATGCAACACGTGTAGAGGATTGCCACTGAGATAATTTGAGGACTGTGGATTCCAGCTGTGAGAACACCATTCGCGTAAGACATCAGCCGTAGAACGTCCTTTGCCAAGCTGCTCATACACCTTTCTGATCTTGGTATTCCAGTTTTTCTCGTCGACAGGTCCTCTTGGGTAGACTTCTTTGTGAAAAAAAGAAATCCAGGGCGGTACTGTGTGTACCCGTCTGACGTGAAATCGTGTGCACTTGCACAGAGGGACAGGGATCAAGAAGGAAAATAACTAGAAACAATGTCAGTACGATGATTGCCTACTTACTTTCTTCTTTCTTTCTTTCTCTTTTTCTTTTTCTTTTCTTTCTTTCTTTCTCTCTCTCTCTCTTCTTTTTGTGGCTAAAGAAACACTCACTTAAACAACTGTCACCAACTTTCCTGGAGCAGAATGTGACCCGCTCCTCCCATGCTAGGGGATCGTTGGGATGTCATCGGAAGTTGGCAGTATTCCGGAACCATGTTGGAATGGTCATGTGGCAAGGTCCCATCCAAAGCGAACAGTATTGTGCCTGAAGGACACCTCATGCACCTTATCCTTGCTGTTTACCGTCGTTTTGAACAAGCGCTTCTGCCAGAGGGAGGAGCTAGCACTGTCATCAAAGCGCACAACAGGCCTAAACCACTTAATTGACACGAAATCCTTCTCCATCGACGCGGTGGGCCACATCGGCGGGCCTGCTTCCTTTGCACTGTTGTGCTGACCATATGCGGTATCCCACAGATGTGCTTCGAAGAATTCTGGACTCAAGTCAAAGGCTCCGCCAAGAAGGTCGATGGTCTCGAGCGTCAAATCCTCGACCATAAGCAATCGGGTCGCAATGCCATCGGGAATGCGGGTGGCAGACTGACGGAGCAATTCCGTGACGGCTGCTCCGGGCAAGAACGGGGGACAGCCCGTGCAAGGAAAGTGAGAAGGACGGCTCAGGCCACTGTTGGAAAAAGTCCAGCAGATCCAGCGACAGGTAGTCGGACCGAGGAGTGCTGTGGTGCGCTTTTGATGAGGTGATCGATGCGACAACGCCTTGATGTCATTTATGTACGCCAGTTGCGTCCTTCGAGCATCAATTGACCCTCGAGCAGTGTCCACCGCATGCTGAGAACTGGATTCGAAGGACGGAGAACGTGGCAAGGCAATCTTCGCGGGGTCAAGATCGGCTCGTTCCAGATCAACTTGCTCAATATCAGCTGGTTCAACACCGGACATGTTTATGCGAAAATCCGAATTACACACTGGCTCTATGGAAGCTTGATCGAGCTGACAGAATCTGCTTCTATAACTGGTCACTAGAGATGAATCCGAAAGGACAATGAGGCTTAGAAATGATGAGTCACCTCTGAGAAGTCAGGCAATAATAACCAGATGGTTAATATCTCTGTTTCACAGCTCTGTGCAGCTCCGATTATCGAAACATCTTCTAGGTGGCTGATTGGGCGACGTCGCTGCGTTGTGCAGGCTCGTATGACATTCAGAAATCGTCGCATGTTGGCAGAAACCCCTTTTCTCTCAAACTCGTCACTCACAACATCCAGCAGAAAATATGCCAGGAACTTTTTCTTTAGGGTTTTCAGAACCATCGTCGTCGCAGATTCGAGGAGATTTTCCATCAATGATTTCTTCTACTCTCTACCGAGGAAAACAGTTACTACCCCAAATAGAATATGTGTTGATGGGCCTACTAGCCCCGTCGGTGATCATTCTCTGTAAGTGGAGAAAGAAATTCCGAACAAGGACATAGAAGCTCAAATTCTTCTGTACAAAGCGATCCTTCTCTCAGGATGCACGCCTCAACGTCGAATTATCGTGGCGGTCTACCTCCTGTCCCTATCGTATCAGAATAGTACTGCAATCGATCCACAGCGCTGTAATAAAGCCATCCAGAAGGCTCTGTCAGGCATGAATTCCTCGCTTGAAGTCCGAACAGGCTACTTCGGCATCTGTGCGATCTCCCCAGGCACACAATGAATCTGCGCCAACGACGCGTCCACGCTTGCAGAGTTCTTTTCAGAGGACGACGACCCTTGGGGTCTTATCCAAATTTCTGCGAATTTCAAGCAACATGTTGTGTTGCCTTGGCTTATGTGCGTTTTGATTTAATATTGGTAAATCAAATACGTATGTACGTACTAATCAACCATGCCTGGATAGTGTTATAACCATTATTATTGCGACTTCATGTATCGTCGCCCTTGTCACCTTTCCACGCTGGCAAGAAGAGATGGACCCCTCCGGCTCCATCCGATATGTGAAGGGGTTACCGTCGCGGTTGCTCGTCAGATCCATCTGCGCCAGGCTTTTTCTGGCTGCACTCTTGCAACTCGTCTCTGCCCTGTGGCAACACACTTCGGCGGTTGCCTATATGAGATCATTGCAAGACATAGCGTGCGGTCAATTCAAAACTGAACTCGGAGCGGTAGCCATGTTTTTTGCATGGGTTATATTTGGAGCAATCACGCTTTCTTTCCTTTGTATTCTAATTGCCTACGTGTTTTTGAGCCTATGGGCCATGGAGCTAGAAAGCTCGAGTGGCAGTGAAACTGCAACAGGACGGGAAGATTCAGTCAGAGAGCAGCAGGTGAAGTATTGTTACTGAGAACATATATTGAAAATACATCCATTTTTCCTCTTGGACAGTCTAATGCATGTATGTACAACAACCATATCTTGCATTTAAACAAGAGTTGGGTGTATGGTACGGTACGGAGTCCTACAAATACAAGAACATGAGACTCTTGAAGTGGAGCTCGTAATAAACTGCGGGGCACTAAAATAAGGTAGCGGGCCGCGCGGTCCCACCGGGGTTCCAGCCCGTCCATCGTGGTCCTGACTCGAGTCACTTTGGATGGAATCGCTTTGGACTCTCCACATGAGGCATAAATACGGGGTATTCCACCTCTGCTTTTCCCTTGTTCTCCGCTCCCACCGCAGGAATGCATTGATACACCAGGGTGCCGTCATCAGCTTGATAAGGTCTGATAATGTTGTGTCGCTATGTAATGCAGTAACCTGCCGAATGAATAGATCCATTCTCAGCGTCAGACATAGCCATGGGGAATTTCTCATACGAAATCGATGACCAGACGATCCAAAGTACCCTACAGAGCAGTACGAGCATCATCCACTAAGCTGATAGCTGTCATCACTGATGATATACAGCCACTGCGCTTTCATTGTCAGGACATCAGCCTGGGATCGCGGAGCTAGATGGTGCGTTTTTAAATGATGGAAAATGCTATTGTATATGTCTCTTGAAGATCTGCAGCTCTTTGCAGGAAAGGAGGACAAGAAATCCGCGCACAGGGCCTATTGCGACGCTTTGGAATGGATATAACAGGGGACTATTGCTCAGTAGATCCTATGCCATCGTGATTTACTAGGCCAGTCTGACGGTTTGGTCCTATGGCGTGATCTCCTCACAGACGATGAACGGCAGTCACGACACTACTGAGATGAGAATCTCGAATATATTTTGGTTTTGAAGGTTTGCTAATTCCATACAGATATACACATACGGACGAGACAGTGACAGTGACAGTGTACTTACGACTCAACCTTCCAATCCCTCAAGAACCGCCATCTTCCCCGTTCTTTCCACCCGGCCTCTTTCCACCTGTTCGCAGTCGCTGGAAAGATGTCCACCACATCGGCCAGCGTCCTGTCATGCGCAAACACGAAGAAGACGTTCTCCGCCGCATCGAACGGCTGCAGGCGGTAGATGCTCTGCTGCGCCGTGTCCGGGTCGTGAGCGACGGTGGTGCCGTCCTCCCAGACGCGGATCCGGTAGAAAGGCCTGGTGCGATAGTTGACGGGATCAGGGTGGATTTTCTCGAAGAGCGCTCCTGGACAGGGCGGATGGCTCGCTTCGTCCTGGGGTTGATGCGGCCGGATCTGCTCCGGCAGAGGCAGATACGGCGAGGGACGGATCTGTCCGGCGTGATGGCACGAGTCGCCACCCATGAGGATGAAAGTATCGTTGTCGCTGCTGTTACTGCTACTGCTGCTGCCGCCACTCGTCGTTCTAGCCAGCCCACAAACATGCCCAACCGCATGCCCCGGCACATCAAGGAGGTAGAACGACCCATCGCCGAAAAAGTCGTACGCGCCAAAGTCGCCGATCTTGAGGGTGAATTTGTCTGGCGTGATTTCGACGAGTTGGCGGCCTGCAAAGTCGCTTTCTAGCAGCGTGCTGTCCGGGTTTGTCGGATATGCAGGCAGTTTGGCGGCTGGCATGCCTGGTCCGACGACGAGGGATGTTGACGAGGGGAATGTCGAGGGGTCGCCGACGTGGTCGAAATGCCAGTGACTATACATCGTTAGTCGGATGTATATTTTCCTTTTAGGAAGAAAAAAAAAAGAAGTCCTTATATCACGAAAACTGCTGTCACAGCTGAATCAGACAGTTCATTGATGCAGCAAACCTACCTCCAGATAATAGAATCGACACTCTCCAACGGGACCCCATTCTCCGTCAAGATATCGGCGACATTCTTCTCGACAGACAGCTTAAAAGTCGTCTGGATGCGCTCATACTGCGGTTTAGCGAGATTCTGCCAGTCCTTGCGCAGTCCCAGGTCGAAGAGCACTCTTCTACCGGAGCGCGGGTTCTCGATGAGAAAGGCGAAAGCGTTGCAGTTCAGCGTCGAGAAGCCGTCGACCCGCGGAGAGAGGAAGCGGTCGGCGGTGACTTGGATAGAGGCCGTGGTGTCGATGATGCTCACCTGGACGGTGTGGGGGGAGGGGGGGATGTTTAGCGTTGACATTTCGTTTTTTTTTCTTGTAGTTGAATTAATCAATCTGGCAGAACAATTAGCACGTCTATCTCTATATCTGGAGCAGAGGGCAGCATCAACATTAGCATACCTGATATATATTTCAGAGAATCTACCTGCCTGCTGACAAATCGAGGTCCCGTCAGGAACTAACTAATCATAATTATCGAGAGGATGATCTTGACTCTGATTTAGCTAATAGTCAATGCGGGGCATCAGACCAGCAGTGACGTAAGACAGTCAAGAACTCTTCTCTGCTAGGTCCATATTAAAGACCGATTTTATTCTACTTCTAGATCTAAGCTTGGTGCCCCGCATTTCTTAACAGCGGCGGCTGAATTGGAAACCCGGGAATATAACAAACCAGTTGAAGAGTCTCTACAGTACTGAGTAATTTAATATTTCTTTTTTTTTACGCCTGGCTTTCGTTTCTAAACTATATACTAGTCATAATTTGTAATCTAGTGAAATTCCTATTGGACTTTATATGAATACTGTCAACTACATAAGCGCTCAGTTCAATTTTAGGATTATGGAAAATCTCCACATTACGAATTGTCGACAGGGGCCCTCCTAACCAGACAATTTATGCTGGGATAAAGGACATGGTCGATTCTTTTACCAAGGGCTGGTATAGCAGTTGTCAAAAATTTTGTTCCTTTCTCTTTTCTTTCCTTCCTTTTTTTTTCTTTATGATTACCAGAAACTCTCACAGATACGTCTGCGCCGTCAATGCTAGTAACCCTAATCCCTAAAGTATAGATACATGTCTATGATCACGTATCAAATCGACAAAATCATAGACCTATCTATCGATCTATATATCTACGTCGACGCCCTAGGCACTTCTCCAACCGGGACCCCCAGCTTGTCCTTCAAAAACGAAACAACATCATCAATCTCATCAGGAACTTTGTACCAGTGTCCAAATCCTGAATATGCTCGCCATGTCACGTCCATATGCAGCTGCTGAGATAGCAGAGATGCCATCCGCTCCCCTAGGCGGACGGAGACCTTTGGATCGGCGGAGCCGTGGCCGAGGAAGATGGGTGTCTGAAGATCCGAGTAGCTGGCTCTTGCTGATTGTAGACTATGATTAGATGCAGAGGAACAAGTTAGAAGCGGATCTTCGTCACTCTTGGGTGAAAGCGGAGGAAGGTCGAGAATATCGCGAATATGGTTCAGGGCTTGAACGGTTGGAGAAACAGGAGCGTTGCTCTGATCTGTTCTTACGAGGTCTGACTCGTTTCTTCTTGCGTAAATGGGTCAAGTGAATCTTCGTCATTGCTGGGCATTGCGAATGGATCGTCGTCGTCTGTGGCTGTTGAGCTTTTATCTTTCTCGTCGCTGTCATCCTCGCCCTTGACATGCTCGTACTTTCCAGGTCATCAAAGGCATCCCCTATTCCCTCGACACCGGAACAATCCGGGATATTAGGCTGCTGCTCGAGAAGCTCGCTCAACTGCCTCCCCAAAGGTAGTCATCCACTCATGCCAACAAACACACCCAGCGCCTCGAGACCATCAGCGCCGAATCCACCGCCCAAGAGAGTGAAAATCCCTGCCGCACAGCCCTGACTCAGACCGCCGAGGATGATCCTCCCATGAGCCCCTTAGCCCAGAGCACGCGCTTCACGATCAACAAGCTGCCTCAAAAACTGAGCCGTCTCACTCAGACCCTCGACCTGCAGATCTGTCCTCGGTTCTGGTTCTCCAGCGAGTAGTTATCGAACCACTGGTGGATGTGGACCTTCTTGAGCACGGTCGGCTGGCGCCTGCGGGCAGTCGGAAACACAAACTTGACCGTGGGCAGTCGCGCAGCCAGATTTGCGGAGCGGAGAAGCTCGTGGCCGAACCGGGCGGCATTGCTTCCGCTGCCGTGGAGCAGGGTGATTGTATGCGTGTGTTGTTCGTCCAGAGGGGAGATGCTTAATAGAGGTGGATAGGGTTGCTTGGATATGTAACAGTACAGTACGTTCAAGTGCAGTCCCAGCCAGGGAATTCGTCAATTGACTACATGTATATATTCAAGCAGGATTTCTTTCCTATTCAAGTTTCTTGAGAATATCAATTTCCAGTTCATACGAGGCTGGCTCGAAGATGTAGAGGTATATAGGCTCTGCTCCCTACAGTACATTCCCGGAGGCTAATAGTCGAATACAAGGCTGAACTGGGCAGATTTCGTGCATCTAAGAGAAGATACGTTCAGATAAATCCTGCTCACACACACACTCTCTTTTTTTCTTTTCCAAAGCCCCATTTTCAACATTCCTCAATGAAGAAGAAGAAGAAGCTTCATGACAAACATTACGATTAAACTCTTTGGGTATACATATGCAATGAAGCGCAAAAAAAAAGAGAGAGAGAAGGGTTGGCGGAGGGAAAAGTGCAGTAGTAAATTCAAGACATAGAATTCTACCGCTGAGCCAGGGCCCGAATTCGCAGAAAAGAATTTATTCCATCGTAATGCCAGGTCGATATTTGCTACTTACTAGGTACTTAGACCTACTCCCATATATAGGTGCCAAAATACAGGTACCAGATTAGGGCACATACGCCGCCATCGCTGATTGGTCAGATCTCGATGATAACCTGACATTCCCCGATTTGGAACATGACATGACATGACTCTCACCAGACGGCAAGGTGGATTACAGGTGGCGTGATTCGGAGAGGGTGAGTAAATGAATCTAGTAGTTTCTACATTTCGTGAATCCATCCGAAAAAAGAAAACAAAGGTATATTCCACCAACTTGATTGATCGAGAGTTTGGATACGGAGTAATCTCCAACCATGTGATCGCTGAACAGCCAATCAGAGATCGTACAATAATAATTACGACTGTGTTCTTTTTCCCTCCTTCATATTCTTGTAGGTTTGTTTAGCAGGATGTCCCGTCTAGGTGAAGTCAGTGGCTTGTCGGACTCTCTCCTGCACACTGCGCTGGTTAGCTTTTTGCTGGAGTCGTGTCATGCGATATACAGTCTATCCATATCCGGGTGGTCAGATCCATCAGATGATGGTCATGCTGGAGTATGCCATTTCAGAACACAGCAAATATATAGGACCTGTCTCTCATATGTGGTGCCTCTATTCATTCTATAGCATATCGTAGAATCAGTCACACAAACCATACCATCATCACTAGTTCTTCGACTACACACGCACCATGTCCTCCAAATCATCCAACCAAGGCATCCCACAAGAAAATGACTTCGGCTCCAACCGCTGGATCCGCGATCCTTCTTCACAGAAGCGCCGCAGTGCCAGCGGTCGTGGCCTGTTCTCCGGTTTGCAGGATGTCAAGCACTACAATGTCGACCACGGCTGGGCCCGGAGGGAGGTCAACAACCATCGGCCAGGGTTTCTGGAGAGTTTGTGGAATACGTGAGTTGACCTGAAAAAAAAAACAACAGACAGATGTCATATCATATGAGTCCTGACTGACTGATTGTTTGGTGTAGTATTACCGGGGGTTCTGTTTAGCTGCCACTGCCAGCATTATCAAAATAATAATCACCATCATGGGCATCACCAGCATTATTACGGTTGTTCGACCCATCCTCCTTTTATTCGTGCCTTTCTTCCGACTTCTCAACCTTATTCCTCCGATCATAAGCGCAATTCGTTTCCTCCTCCTCCTCCTCCTCCTCCTCCTCCTCCTCCTCAACCCATCCTCATCCTCCCGCCTCACGAAATCTACGACGAAGCCATGTATCGTGATCCAGTGTTTGCACGGCACAAACAGCAGTAACAACGCTTTATGTCTGTCGTCTTCTTAAGAAGTTTTAAAGACAATTAATCCGCCAGCACAATCCAAAAAAAGAGAAGAACACATTACGACAATTTCTTGATCTTGACTGACAATGGAGAGTCCCTGGATTGAGTGCTTTGAGGATTTCGAGTTTGGTTTATTTTTCTTTTCTTTTTTACAAAATGATCTTCTATATATATTCTATATTCTATATTTTATTGCTGTCAGGCGTTATTAGATGGGAGTGAATGGCTGGAATGAATATACATACTTGCCACGGGGTGCGGAGTCAAGGAGTCAAAGATAAATATCTATCTATACATCTATCTATACATCTATCTATATATATATTTCAGACAGACCGTGTTATCTATATAGAACTCCTGAACACAAATAAATCTGGAATTATTATCACGCTCTTCTCACTTTGCTTCCTTTTTTTTTATCTCTGTCCGTTAATCATTTCATCACCGGTTGTCGTTGTTCGAACTGATATTGTTCGATTATTTCTAATGTGCCCGTATGACAGACAGACAGCCAACAAGTCGATCTAATGGATAGAATCAAAGTAAGGTTGTTTTAACATTTATTTTGCATACCGACGAAGAACGCATGGTTTTGTGTTAGCAATGGTGCTGCTCTGCCAATGTCGTCTCTATTATTATCTGGTTATTATTTACGGAATGTATTCTACGTGCGTTTGGTTACATCTCGATCTGAGATATTCGACTTATTCTGCTGCATTGATATTACTTATCTCTAAGTGATATGAGTGCAACCTCTTTAAACAGGTCTTTCCAGAACCTTACAGAACCCTATATTATTTTGCTGCAAGAACGACGTATATATACTCTGTACACTGGAAGTAAAGCTGTCGCTTCTATTCATACCTGATTTGTGGACAGCATCTGATCTGGTCAGGCAGGGAATGGTCTGTCAAGAAGAAATATCAATTCCAATTCTGGAGAAAGAAACTTTAGCGAACCAGATGAGCATACGAATATGAGTAGGTTGAGATCTGGTGAAGAGAAAAACGGTTTAGTCCTGCGACTCTCCCTGAATCTTTATCTGTACTCTGTACTTCGTTCGGAGTACTCGTACTCTACGGTCAATAGTCCAGCTCGTGCCAACCGCCGTTGAGATGCCAGATACTAGATACGAGCTAGAGCGTCGATCTGTTGGTGGTCAGTTTAGAAGGTAATAAACTGCAATTAGACTTCGATAATCTATGGAGTACAGAGTACTCCGTACTCTTTTGAAAGCGTGGAGATACACGCGTCTGCAGAAGCTACTCTGGATACTCCGTACTCCTTACTACTCCGTATGGAGTACAGTCTGGCCTTCCAGAACGGCTGATCAGGCCCGCTCACTGTGGTCCAGAACACTGCGCCGAGAGCGACAGTTGAAATAGTTCGTGCTAAAGAAGTTGGGCCGTTGGACTATGAGATGGAACAGCCCTGCTTACGGGTTAGTGAGGATCCAAGGCAATAGTCTTGAGCATGCGGAGACAACGAGGCTAGCTGTGAGAAGAGATTAACAGCATTGCTTTATTCAGGAGTTCGTATGGAGTGCTACTACCTACTTAGTTTGAATAGTCCATACTGTACTCCGTACGGAGTACTGGGACGTGGACTACCTGTCTAGGTATGGAGATTCTCTCATCTGCGATTCCCGGTGGGTCATCGGTTGATGAACTGCCGAGCTGAAGTGAACACAGGGCAAACCTGTGGAGAAGGATCGGCATGTCGAGGAAGCTTGCACTCCAACCAGGATGTCTTCGATTTGCTGGCAGTCCTCCGCACGCGTAATCAGCAATCTGGACAAAATATGGGGTACTTCGTATTCAACCATGCCTGCTCATTTCAAAGTTAGGGAGAATCTGCAGTCCGGGGAGAATGGATAGAGGCACTGGCTGATGCTGACCGCTCCACTGGTCAGACGAGAACCATGAAACCGCCACTACCGGCTAGCAACTGCCTCGCTCAGTAGTGTTCCGTCGGACTACTCCGTAAGCAGGAAGAAAGTCAACAGGCTGTCAGCAAACGAGACGCGGAGTTGGCGATCGCAGGGAAGCGGAAATGAAGGCGCGGGGCCAAGATGCCCTAAACAGACTAGCTGCGACCGGCGCCAGACGGCGTGATCGCACTAGTCCGGGTCCGGCTTAGCGCCGCATCATGTGAGCGAACAGGCCAATCACGTGGCCAGCAGCGGGATCCGACGGCCGGCCGAGGCGCTCTCAGGCCTCCTGGCGTTGCTAAGGATGATGATGGACTGTGCCAGCAGGGCGAGCGTGCGACGTGGAAGAGACTGCCACGAGCTGGAACGCAGTGGAGTGGCTAGCATCGAGCCTATGAGGTTGCAGATTGGAAACAGGGCAGGCTCAGCAGGGGTCAGATTGAATCTCTGTGAGTCTACGGAGTACGGATTAGTGTCCTTACCTGGCTGAGCAGAGGGGCCGAGAGGCAGCGTGACAGGCGGAAATTACTCCCACATGGACCCCGACGGACCCCGATATTGTCTCCAGTGCATTGGTTTGGAAAGGGCAGTACGGAGTACAGCCTGGCTGGCAGATGAGACTGATCCTGCATGGATCTGAAGGAACCTCGGAGATCGCTGGGCGGTTGATATGATGATATGACTCTTGCACCGTGACTGCATGCGCTGTCTGCAAGGTGCACCTGGCAACCTGAACGCAGCATCGCCAATGACTGTTACAGGGTGCCTGGCGGTGGAGGGGCCAAGGCGCCGGTCGCGCACGGCGTCTGCAAGGCCCGCGACGGCGTCTCCGAGGGGCTTCACCAGTTCCGTTTTGGGCCATCGCACCGCTCCGCCAGCGCTGCTAATTTGCATCCAGCGCCATCTGCCTCTGGGGATGCCCACTCTGGCAAATCAGCGCCTGCAGCCCCTGGCCTGCCCAGCATCTAGTGCTCGGGTACCTGATGGATCTGAGGCCCGGATGGACCCCTGAGCCGTCCCTTGCCGTCTCTTTTCTTCTGCCCGTCCCCCTCTCCACGCGGCCTTTCTTCCTTTCCTTCGGATCTCCAAGGCTTTGCGTCCTCGTCGCAAGTTCGTTCCTTCACGGATTCTACGATCCCTACTACCGCTTCACTCGTTTAGCGGGCACTCTTTTCGAATCGCGTTTTCTATTCGCTTCGCACCACTCCTTCCTGTCGTGTGTCGTTTGAGAGAACTGCGCTGTCGGTGTCGCGACAATGAAGGGCGCCTTTCTGACCGCTGCGGCGGCCCTGCTGGGCTCCGCCATGGCTGACGGCCACCGTCGTCATGCCCACGATGGCTTCCACCACCGTCGTGGCCTCGAGACCGCCGCGGAGACCTGTGGCTGCACCACCAAGGTCATCACCTACTGGGGCTCTCCTACTCGTGAGTATCCCATTTGATATGCGCGAATTGGAAGAGGAAGCGGGTGAAAGTAGTGAGATGGCGAGGGGAAGACTCGAAGATGCAGAGGAAGCAGAGAGGAAGGGAAAGGATATTTGATGAACAGTCCAGCTGACGATCCCAGTCGTCCCCACGACCCCCAGCCCGACTCCCTCCTCGTCGTCCGTCCAGCTCACCACGACGGTGAAGTCGACCAGCTACAGCACCGTGACGGTCGTGGCGCCTTCTTCCGCTGCGCCTGTGGCCTCTTCTTCTGCTGCTCCTTCGCCCTCCACCACTCCCGCGGTGCCTCTGCCAACTCCGGCGATCACCACCTTCTCGACGCCTGGTACCTACATCATCCCGGCTTCCACCGTGACCGTGTCGTCTGAGACCACTGTTCCTGTCCCCACGACCACTGTCGTGCCCCCCGGCACCCACACCGTCGGCGGTGTCACCACCGTTGTCGAGACCTCGACCGTCATCACCTGCCCGTATGCCACCGTGAAGCCCTCGGGCTCGACTGTGACCAGCGTGATTGAGCAGACCACCTACGTCTGCCCGTCGGCCGGCACCTACACCATTGCTCCCATCACCACCACGGTCTCCACCAGCACTGCCCTGATCTACCCGACTCCGGCTACCATCACCCCGGGCACCTACACTCAGCCTGAGCAGACCGTGACGGTCACCGAGAGCAGCTACACCTATGTCTGCCCCTTCAGCACCGGCCTTGCCTCATCCAGCACTCCGGTTGCGTCCTCTACCCCGGCTGTGACCTCCTCTGCTGTCGCTGCGACTAGCGCTACGGCGGCCCCGTCCGTGGCCGTGCCGTCCATTGGCATCTCCATCGGTGCTCCCTCTGCTTCCTCGTCCAGCGCGGCTCCGGCCTCGACTGGCAGCACCGCTGGCAAGCTGTTCAACACTGACCACTACGGTATGACCTACTCGCCGTACACCTCCACCGGCGCTTGCGCGGACCAGAACACCATCGAGTCCGCCATTGCCGATATCGCCTCCAAGGGCTTCAAGGTGGTCCGTCTGTACTCGACTGACTGCAACGGTCTCGAGTACGTTGGCCAGGCTGCTGCCAAGCACGGTCTGAAGATGATCATTGGTGTCTTCATCTCCAACACTGGTATCTCCGGTGCTCAGGACCAGGTCAAGGAGATTGCTGCCTGGGCCCAGTGGCAGCTCGTGGACCTGATCGTTGTCGGTAACGAGGCCGTCTTCAACGGCTACTGCTCTGCCAGCGAGCTTGCCGGTTTCATCTCTTCCTCCCTGCAGACCTTCAAGGCCGCCGGCTACACTGGCAAGATCACCACGACCGAGCCGATTGAGATCTGGCAGCAGCAGGGCTCCGCTCTGTGCGGCGTTGTCGACATTGTTGGTGCCAACGTTCACCCCTTCTTCAACGCCAACGTCAGCCCTCTCAACGCTGGTTCCTTCACCAAGAGCGAGATGGACATCCTCGCCGGTGTCTGCCCTGGCAAGAGCGACGTCATCAACCTGGAGACTGGCTGGCCCACCGCTGGTAAGGCCAACGGCCTGGCTGTCCCTGGTATCCTGGAGCAGCTCACTGCCCTGACCACCATGGTTGCCGAGGTTGGCTCCCGGTCCGTCTTCTTCTCTTACGCCAATGACCTCTGGAAGCCCCTGGGCGAGTTCGACGTTGAGCGGAGCTGGGGCTGCGCTGATGTCTTCTAAGCGGTCGATCGGGCTGTGAAGCTCCCATCGGACGCGTTGGACACGAGTTTGGGGCGGCGTTGAAAGTTTCTGTTTTTGTTTGATTGCCCTTTTGTTATTGCCGATGCAGCCGCCTTGGTGGAGAGCTTCTCTGTCAATAGCGTTGCTTGATCTTCTGTACTAAATATTTTAACGCTTTTGATTTGATGTAGTAGATATATTATTACTTCATGGTGTGTCCATTGCGTGTTTGGACTTTTATCCTGTACATCTGTTAATCTATTGACGTTCTCACGACGGTTGTCGGACTGTAGGCACGTAAGCGTAAGCTGGTCGAAATGATTCTAGGGATTTGATCTTAACCTCCGAGTCAGGTGGTCTCGAAGGTCCCGAGAACATTGGTATGCTGTTCCTCAGCCCCTACTCCGTAGTATCTCTCTGCTTGGAGTCTGCCGTCACTATACTCTGTCCCGTGCCGCCGTCACCGCCATCAACCAATGTCATCCACCAGAGAAGACTCATTCACGGCAACTCTCTCTTTTTACGGTCCATCCGTCACTGCCCTGGCCACATCTACACCTATCATTCACGACTCTGCTCAACGCTAAGCTGAAAGAAGGAGATTAAGCGATGAGATTCACGTCTCAGCGATGTAAAAAATCAGGCGCTAAACTGAAAACAGGCACCGCAGCAAGGCTGTATTCACGGATGATGCCGTAGAGGTGTATCAGAGTATGTAGGGAGAAGACCTCCAACGGGAAGTACCGCGGGAGGAATGATTATGATAATTCACGGATAGAGAGAGCGATTAGTGACTGTAGAAACCCTCAGAGCCCTTAGAGCCCTTCAGAGAGGCATAAATACCCCCTCGATTCCCCCCGAGGGAGATCTGCTTCTACTTTCTTTTTTTTTCTCCAACTTACTTACATCTCATTACACTACACAAAAACCATATATACATACCAAAAAAAAATCGGTATATATGTATATATGATATACATTCATACCTTAGCACATCTCACCCCTGGATGGTACGGGGCTTTTCTTTCTCATCGTCTTCTACCATTCATCATTTCAATTCATTTATCATTTTAATTATTTAAATTTTCGACATGCCTCGCATGCATTCGAAATATTTCGATCCATCGTGTACAAAATGTACACTCCCTTGAGAGAGTGTGCCGCCTCTATTCTCCATCTATCCGGACATGTGTCGCTGTGCAGGGAACATACCTATCTGGGTAAGCATGACATGCTATTTTTTCTTCCCAAAGTCCTTGCAAGCGAGCTTGCTCTCTTCCTAGGAAACCATGCTGATGACTGAATCGACTTCGCTGTGGACAGGACCAACGATGGTTATTGTCTGTTCAACTTCGAGGATCCATGGTAGTGTCCTGGTCCTGGTCCTGGTGCTGGTACGGTGCGACATAAGATGAAATCACGTGGCTGTCACCTGTCACTCAGTCACATGTTTGTTTCACCACGCTTCACGTGACAGAGACTTCTGTTTTGAACCCCTCAACCCACATGACTGTCTCTACCCCAACGGCGTCGAGTGTCACAACAGAACTCACTCTAAGTCACGTGGTATCTCCTTGCCCTGACTCTCTCCTCTTGCATTGCAAGACAAGTCAGTGATGAGAGAGGTGGAAATGAGAGAGAGGAGAGGCAGAAACACATGTCTTCTTTTCTTCTTGCAATTCATTCGGGCAGATTGCTGACTTTTTGGGACACTTCAGTGATTGTCTTCCTCTATCCTCATGGATAATACCGGATTGGTTAGCCAAATAAATCAACAGCTTGGGCGGTCCAGCGATGCCGATCATTATGAGATGTCCACTGTCACACATTGACATCTCTGGCACTGCACTTCCATCTGTTGGAATGTGCACAGTATCGCACATTGACATGTTGGGCGGTCCAGCGATATCGATTTTGACATGACATGCCTGGTATCACATGCCATCTCGAGCAGTCCATTGATATTCCTTAGACGTTCCAGCAGTATCATTTTTCACATGCCCGGCATCACACATTGACATCTCGGGCGGTCCAGCGACCGCGATTTTTAACATGCCCAGCATGCAGTCATACATGGCTTCATGTATGCACATACATACAAAACATGACATAAACTTTATGTCTAAAGCCTGGCAACAGTAGTACGAAGTCCCGGGTATCCAAAGAGAAATTCAGGCCCTCACTTCACTCCTCATAGCAAGGAAGGAGTTGTCGCAGGAGTGTGGAATGCCTCCACGGGCAGTTTCCAGCATCGGAGTCATGGCGGATCGCCAATGATGGGTCTGCGACGGCATCTTCCAGCATTTATTAAGATACTTTTCCAAAAAGCGAGAAGTTGAACAAAACAGAAACTCGACACCGACCCTCGAAGAAGAGTCCCGGGATGATCCTCTTTCATTAGGTTGGCCTCGAGGATTCTATCTACCATCGTCCGTCCAAGTGTCTGGACGCAACCATTTCACAGAGAGTCGGGGGCTTGTGATTCCGAGAGATGTAGCACTTTGGTGTCTACATGGTCATGGCTGTCCGTCGTCATCAGCAAGTCTACGTTCATCGCCCTCTCTCTCTCACACCGGTAGAGAGATGTTGCTTCGCAGGCTTTTTTGTTTTCCAATGGTGTGCTCCGGCTGTGGTATCCGACTCTGTTTAACAACTTGGATGCGAGTGCTTTTATGAGTAAAGCCAGGAGGCGCAGATACTCGACCCGCCATACTGAACACCACGATGTCGATCTTGTCAGCAGCTGCCAGTCAGGATATCTCTCATCGATTTCTTACTTCGCTGATGACACCAAACACGCAAATCAGCTTCCGGTAAGGGGAGCACAGCTCGTCAGAGGCACGAGAGGAGTCATTACATTCCAAAATTTTGATCAGCTCGCCATGCCACGATGGCTGGTTTGGTCGAAATAATCGAGCGGTCATCAAAATTAATGAATCTGGCTGAGGTCGTTGGCGACCAGGTTACCAAGCGGGTAGGCCGGTGGTGCATGGAGCCTGCATCATATACGATGTGCCTCTCGAACAGAACAACCTGCTGCTCCTTTAAATCTGAGCCCGTCCTGAGGCCCATCGAACTTTCCACGACATGGACCGAGTGCGCGGCAGATATGCCGAACAAGTGAAACCTATGAGGCAGTCAATGAATGATCTTGCCCTCGCCCCGAAGTGCCCGCACGGCTCGAGGGAAAGTCAGGACTGGATCTCAATTTTGGAAAGAAGCACATCAAATACAAACACGGAAACTTGAACACT